CAAGAAAACATCGAGGAAGCTCTAAGAAGCTCAGAAAAAGTCGAAGATATTCCATCCAATCATCCTTTGGAAGAATATTCCAGAATCCCTACATGTGGCTTCCCTATTGGACAAATGCTAATAACCTCCTGTATGCGGATTAGAGGACTATAATGATGATTTCGTTATTACTAAAAACCATAAATATTTGACAATTTTGTACCGTAGATGACACCGTTTGGAATAGCATTCCTTCCACTTGTGTTCTGTTTTATCATTTGCAACTTGGGAGGGTTCTAACGTTCGAGTGCTCAAGTTATACGTGGTATATTAAGAAACTAAGCTCTAGATATAACAACTGCTGACGGGGTTAGCTTATCAAGATGTCATTTACCATTGACCAATTTGAAGCCTTGTTGGAGCAACAAGAAAAACGTTGCGAACAGTTCCAGATTTGTATTCTAGAAGCTCTAATCCAGCAAATGAACGTAAATCAGAACGGGCTTACAGATGATCCTTCCAAATCTCATGTTGACCACATTATTAATTCTGTCCATGAATTTCATTTTGATGGTTTGACTGGTGTTACATTTGAATCGGGGTTCATCAAATACGAAGATGTATTCAAGGTCAACCTAGAAAAATATGATGATGTCGCAAAGGTCGGAGTAATGTTACGCAAACTTGGCACAGCTGAACATGAACGCTACACCAACTTTATTCTTCCCAAGAACCCCAGATACCTTTCATTTGATGCAACGGTTGTAACTTTATCGCAAATATTTGGTAAACAGTCATCTTTGTTCAATATTCGTTAGGAATATAGTAAATATAGTAAATGCTCAATTTGCAAAATGACCATCAATTGTGTCAAAATGACTCAGACTTCATTGTTCTTGTATTTTCATACAAATTACATTCTGTTTCCATTCTTTACTGTTCGATCCTCTTGCCTCTGCTGCCGGATATTCTGTTCCTGACTAACTTCATATACTACTTATGTCAATATAAATAGCACACACCACACTAGCATAGCAAATCGCGAGCATGAGCGTTTCAAATTATCAGCAATGACAGAAGATCAGTTTAAGTGTCTTGTTTTTATATACAGCTTGCAGTCACCTGAAGATGTCATCATCAGAACAAGAATTTTCATCAAAATTGAAGTGTCCAAATATAACGCTACAAGAGGTGATGAGTGAATGTGAGAGGTTGGTAAACTTAAACCATGACAATTCTATGGTTGAAAACAATGGCCAATCACCATACGTACAGGTAAAAAATAGGCGGAAAGATTCTTTTGTAGGACAGTTCAAACAATCAGCTTCCATCCTCGTGCTGGTTATGCGATGAGTGGCATTACAATAAATTTTGCCTATATAAAAGCTACACGTAGGGATTCTGGAATATTCTTCCAAAAGATGATTGGATGGAATATCTTCAGCTCTTTCTGAGCTTCCTCGAGTTCATCCATGTACCGTTCTCATAAATTTATGATAAAACCAAGAATAACAATTTAAACAGAATAAGATGATTACATTTCCTCAGCTGTTTCTTACAATTCATAAGATTTCAAAATTAGATTCAAGATATTACAGATTGATTACCACACCAACATTTTGTTCAGTTATTTGAAGTTTATTTAAACCTTCATTACAAAACATTAATACACACTTACATTAAATTCTAATTGACTTTATTCCAAACTGTAATTTTCTTATTTCGATTGCTTTTTCTCTTCTTATTTTTTTTAAAAATCTTAGCGCGCTTATACAATACGACAGCTTGGGACGACGTAAATTATCCATTCCAGGTTGCTCTATGATGTTTATGTCCAAATTTTCTCATTTTGATTTTAAAATATTCTAAATTGTAGGCAACAGCTGTGGAAAATCTGTCAATATGAAATAATTTCATACCATCTTGTTCAAACTGTTATTCTCATACATTTCAACTTAGTAAATGGAACTATTTGAATTCAAAATAATATAATAAAGTGTGATCAGATCAGCAAACCAATCCAGATTGAAAACTCAAAGTCACAGTAGATAATTCGAAAAGAATCCTCACTGTTTATTGTATCATGATTAGTAGTTATTATTTATTTCAACACAGAGATATTGGTACAAAGAGGCATCAAATACATATGAGCCACACAAATCTCATTCGATATGTGTGAAGACTGTGATAGTAACCGGGTGCCCAAACCGAACCAGGTGGTTTTCTTAGAGGCCCAGACCCGAGTCTTAGACCAGAAAACCTGATACACAGGGTAGTGGAGCATCGTGAGGAGATGAAGTCTCATGGAAGCCGGTGACCAACAATTGGTTCATACACCATTTGTTCCTTCAGGATACTGGAGCCCATGTGCACCATTGGTTTGGGATCCGGTTAAATCGCCAGACATTCGCTTTTCGTCCTCTCATTTTCGTAAACAACACCCCCATCATGAGGACTTCTCTGGCAGAGGCTATATACGCGTGGCCATGTGAGAGCATTTGGAGAGGGAGAGCGGACTCTCCCTAGTCTCGGCCATACCAGGGCATTTGGGGGCTGACTAGTAGAAACTAGAAGAATTCTATAAGTTATTTGCAACACATTAAATTGCTGGAAAAAACTCATATCCATAATCTTAGGCTTGAATTAGTGGTAGAAAGAGCTAAATAAATACGAAAGGAAGTAATGTTTCATGTGTTAGAAAAAGAAACCTATCAGAAATGATTTTTGCCTCGTTCTTTTTAGGTTGGAACTTCAGAAACCATGTTAAGTGAAACGTACTGAATTATAAGAATTTAACTTACGATTCCAGATGCCTTAATAAATAGTTCAGATAGAAATGCAGTATAGTACAGTTTCACTACTGAAGAAAACTGTACTCTGAAATTCCGATAAAAGTTACCAATATCTCTTGGTGTTAATAGAAAGAATTGTCGGATGATACGAAAACTTAGTCCTGAAAAGAAAGTACAATAGTGAAAGGGAATGGAAAACCTAATATCCAAGGAATTAGTTTCTTTAACAGTAGTACGTGTTTGGCAGTTTATTAATCACGTAGAAGTAATAATTTCCTTCAATTTATAATAACCGTTCACATGGATGTTTTCCAACTGCGAGCTCGTATAGGTTTCCTAGACGTTTCTAATAACCCCACACTGAATCAAATCGGCAACTTAAACATGAGAGAGAAGTCACAGTATGAAAAGAACTCTTTACTATCAGGTTAGTTCATGTACAGAAAATCGAAGGTATTTATAGTATTTCAGATGGCCTTGGGCTTCTGACAGTTTCTGAAATCATACTAAACATAATAGTAGGATAATTAATTATTCAATCAGAAATTCGACACGTGATTACTTTCTAGATGTTTTTGAGAATCTTTTATTCATCGTTTATTGGATAAAATGTTTCTCAACATTTTCAGGGCCCCTTTGGACTTTTTCGAAGAATATTTTGGATCTCTCCAACATGTATAGTCTGTTTTCTGATTGATTAAAATGGTGAAAAACTCTCAATCGGTCAGTCAGCAACAATGTAGAACTTCGTACGTACGTACATCAGTTCGAGTTGCCATATCACATTAGCACAGAAATACAATTGTCGACTCAAATCCCATAATCATAGAAGTATTATAGAAAATAGTCGGAAAGATGAGGGTTTGAAGATGTTATTCAAGGAGTATAATCCAGTGAAATAAACTTGGGAAGAGAAAAAAAGAAAGGGACATGAAGAATTCAGAAGATTAGAAATTGGGAGAACAGAAAGAGTTGATCACTTTAATATTTAATCACTGAATTCGTGAGTTAATTGAAGCTAGACCACCAAAAAAAAACCTGGCAGCATTGGACGGCCGTTTCGTCCTATTGTGAGACTCCTCAGGAGTGCGCACCCACGACCACGCCTCGCGAGGCTCGAACCCAGGACCTACAGGTCTCGCGCGCGAACGTATAACCTCTAGACCACTGAGCTGGTCGGCATCCAAAGGTGTTAATGTCTAACTTCAAGCAATCCATAATATTTTTCTATGTCGACGTCATAATTAAACTTTACACTATATGTTTATCATACGTAAAAAGGTAAGATAAATCAATGAAATTAAATCAGGCATTTATATATATATATATATATATATATATATATATATATATATATATGATTAGTGTTGGAAATGGTTGGAAGAAAGTCAGGGGCGGTTAAACAAAAACATGGCATCAGTGCTTGAAGTCACTAACTTCTGATCTGAGCCATGTTGGTGGATTCATAATACTCGGTTGGGGTCCGCGTGACTATCGTAATCAATGGTTGGAGACTCTGGGTGACATATCTCAGATTGTATCACAATGGCGTAGGTGTATACACTGTTTGTTTTCCCTTAAAATGTGAGATTAAAACTATATCTTCCTTTCTTCCTGTATTATATCCTTATGCACAATCTTTCTTTTATGTATCACTACCATTGAAGTAACTGCTTCTGTGAATTCGGTATTCATCTTGTTGTGCTAATGAGGTGTGGCAAGTTGGGTCGATGCATATATGTGCCTGGTCCTACGTGTAGCTGACTGACTGACCTCTCACATTGCCACATGAATACAGCCATTGCCAGAGAGGTACTACTCACTGCCTTCTCATGGCACTGCTGTTGTTTACCAAATTGAGCGGATGAAAAGCAAACGTTCGGCGCTTTAACCGAGTTGATGGACATCTAGAGGAGTTGGAAAAGCCTAATCTCAAGCCAATAGTACACATAGCCTCCAGCATCTTAAAAGGACAAATGGCGTATGAACCAATTGTTGATCACCGACCGCCATGAGACTGCATCTCCTAATGTTGCTGCAGTGTCTTGTAGATCAGACCTTTAAGTCAACGGCTTTGGGTGCAGCCCTCTAAGAAAATCATCTGCTTCAGTTTGGCTGACCTAGCAGTATTACAACCTACACACAAATCAAATGAGTTGTAACTGCTAGGATCTATTTATGAATTATAGAGATTTAGTAGAAGTTGTCTCATGAACTGTAAAAGTACAATTTTTATTCATTATTATTATTATTGTTATTATTATTATTATTTTCTCCATATGATTGACAAATCGTTTTTCATTAAGGTTAATAAGCAAATAAATAAATTTGTAATGATGTTTATAAAAAAATAATCTTTATCAACTGTGAATAGGTCAATATTATCAAAGAAGAATGTCAAAGATTCAAGAAATCATCAAATAAGACTAGTTCTTCTCAATCATCTTTGATCAAATGTTATACAATAGAGTATTTAGCTCTGTTATTATCTTAATTCAATATTTAATACTTCAAATATGATCCCTTTTTTTGTTTTCTATTGAGTCAATCAAGTTCCATTTGTTTAAAATGTATGATGTGATTGGATAGAAATTAGTTTCTGTTTTGTTTTTGTTTTTGTTTTTAGAAAGTATACGGATACATTATAAAAATTCATTAGTAATAATGAGTTAGTTACGGAGATGAAGGAAAGAAGAGAGAGAGAGAAAGGGAGAGTGGGGGAGAGAGAAAGAGATGTTACTAAATGTTAATATTTTATATTAATAATGATAATAAACGCTGTAATTGTAAGATTTCGTAATTCAAACATTCAATAAAGTACAAATAATAAAGAAAAAAAAACAGTATTTTGTTGATCACTGTCAGCTGTGAAATAGTGATTGATGATGTCATAAAAGGTTAAAAGAAAAGAAGTACTGATAAAATCAATAAAGTCAATACTATATTTAATGTTATGTATATATATGTCTGTATGTATATGTATATTCCGGTAATATTTGTGCATCATTCCACATTACTTTGATAACCATTCGTTCCTGGACAACTTTGTACTCCTCCTACCTTGGTAGTTGATAACACATTTGATTGTCTTATTTCAGCTGGTGGAGTAGATAAAGGTCTTAATTCTCTGTAATAAATCTTAAGAGAATTTTTAAAAAAATAAAGAGAATATTAATGATATACAAAAAATATTATGGTGTTTTTGTGTGCATTTAGTAAACATCACTAGTGACTGATTTCAAGAGATACTCCTGGAGTTCTAATGAGAAGCCGTTACCAGTGGAGTTCAACCAGGTCTGCTATGAGATATCAGCTCACTGAAGACAATGGTGTACGGTGGCAAAACTTCGTGGATTGGTTGAAGTTAGACATTAACACCGTTGGGAGCCGGCTCAGTGGTCTAATGGTTAAGTACTCGCGCGCGAAACCAGTAGGTCCTGGGTTCGAGTCCCGTGGGGTGTGTGGTCGTGGACGCGCACTGCTGAGGAGTCCCATATTAGGGCGAAACGGCCGCCCAGTGCTTCCAGGTTTTCCATGGTGGTCTAGCTTCAAATTGACTCACGATTTCAATCTCTAAATATCTTTGTATTAATCAGTTCCGATGGTGTGGTTAGTGACCAGTTACCTTCATAAACTTTGTTATCTTTATATTTATTTTCAATAAACTACTATGTTAAGTTGATCTCGGATTATGTAGCTCATTGAGCACCTACCCCTCACTAATTGATGGATTGAATTTATGCTAATATGTCTATCCACTCAAAACTAGAAACCATGTAGCCATTCTAGAGATTTCTTAACCTACTTGCAATTTTCCTCACTCTGATATGTTGACATTATTTTACTCAAATTCATCTATATAATTGTTCACATAAATTGATGTAACTAATACTATACTATTCCATTAAACCATATTATATTCGTAAATGTGTAGATGGAAAGGATGTTTAACAAATTGTTCATCACAGTAGATGAAACTTATGTTGTAAATGATGATAGGTTTGTCCTCTTTCATTAGTGCAATTCTTGTTCTGATATAAAAGTGGATTTATTGTGTAAGCAAGATTAATTCAAAAAAAAATAACTTAAAACTGTTAAGTCTTGCTGATTGGACGCTTTATTTGTTCTTAAGCTATTCTGATAAACCTCACACTAGAACTATACAGCGACCTGAACACCAGGGAGAAGACGCAAAGTATGAGAGAAATACTTTACTCCAAGGTTCGTTTTTGTACAGAAAACATGGGTATTTATAGACGTTAACGTTTGTTAAATCAACATCATATTTCGGCCAATCCGTTAACGACATATTATACTACTGACCAATAGTAGCACGCCACGTTGGGATTTTAGAATGCACCATCATGCTTTGATTGACTAGGACTCTTTGGCTTCTTTTAAGCCTCTGGAAGCTCCATTGAAGTTCTCCGAAAGCCGACTCAACAAAAACACTAACAGTAATTTCCGGTGTATTTTCATAAATGGTTAATTTTTTAAACATTTTGTTTTTGTGATGAAACTACCAAAAAAATCTTTTAATTTTGAGATAAACTTAGATGATTTTATATTAAAAGACATTGAAATTTGACAAGTAAATCACACAATAAAAAAGCTTGGAGAACTGAGAAAGCTATCATCCAGAAGATACAAGTGTTTATTAACAGTTGTCTACGCAAAATACTTCACATCTGTTAGCCAGACACTATCAACAACAACCTACTGTGGGAGAGAACAAACCAGATTACAACAGAGAAGGAAATCAGGAAGAAGCAATGGATGTGGATAGCACATAAATTAAGGAAAGCACCAAACTGAGTCACAACGCAACCCCTCACTTGGAATTCTCAAAGCCAAAGGAGAAAACATTATGGCGAGAAATGGAGACAGACATGAGAAGAATGAACAACAATTGGATAGAACTAGAAAGGAAAGGCCAGGACAGAGTGGGTTGGAGAATGTTGGTCGGCAGCCTATGCTCCATTGGGAGTAACAGGCGTAAGTAAGTAAGTAACATGATGCCATGCGTGTCAAGTCCTCACTTTTTCTATATAGATGATTGATAACGTGCAAATGAACGAGTTATTTCAACTTACTGTGTTATTACAAAAAACTTTCGAACGAAATAACTAATTGGTGGTTCACTAAATAATAACAGGGAATATAGTGAAGTAGGGATTCTAAAGTTGTTAACCACTCCTACGTATAGATCTCGCCAATCGTTGTCTTAAAACTTCGTTTCACTATCTCTTACATGAGTTTGTCAAAAGTCCTTTTGTAAACAGTGATAAATATTTCATAAGACCTAATGAACATGAGAATAATGCATACAAAACTTTAGTGTGAATATTTTATCAATCATGTAAAAGTAGTTGTGTAATATGAATTAGACAATATTAGGATTGAAAACTGACAAATTACCAGAATCATTGGGACATGTCAGATAAGCACTTTCCATACTCATAATATCCGAATACACTTGCTTAAACATTACTGTATGAACTTTACCTGACAAGTTTTGCTGAATAATTTCAAATCTAAACACCTTCAGTTCTATATTAACGATATTTGTCTACCTAAGAACGCTACTGTTGAGTCGGCTTTCGGAGAACTTCAATGGAGCCTCCAGAGGCTTAAAAGAAGCCGAAGAGTCCTAGTCAATCAGAGCATGATGGTGCATTCTAAAATCCCAACGTGGCGTGCTACTATTGGTCAGTAGTATAATATGTCGTTAACGGATTGGCCGAAATATGATGTTGATTTAACAAACGTTAACGTCTATAAATACCCATGTTTTCTGTACAAAAACGAACCTTGGAGTAAAGTATTTCTCTCATACTTTGCGTCTTCTCCCTGGTGTTCAGGTCGCTGTATAGTTCTAGCGTGCGGGTTTCCAGAATAGCTTTGGAAACGAACATAGCGTTCAATTCTCAAGATTTGTCAGCTACAAAAATATTTTAATTTCCTAATTATAAATGAAAAAATGTTATTGGGGAAACACTTTCTACATTTGTAGTAAAAAGTCAAATATCATTCTGTTTAGAAATCAAAACACTTTGTGATCAGACAGTAAAATATGAATCTTTAAGCGCTTAAACCTCTTAGTAATTTCAGCTAAAAAGAACCCACACTAAATGACATATTAATTTACAAATATCAGTCAATCCATTGAATCAACACTCTGCCTGAAAAAAATGTTTTACACAATACAAACATCACGTATCATCATAGGTATTTTTAAGAATGGAATCTGTTTGAACGTACCTTCTCCATTCTACTAGGAACTCTATTTAAAATACCCATAAATAATGTAGTAGACGGTCTTTGTCGATTGCGCATTCTACGTGTGAACTTTTTCAGAGCTGGATAAATGTGACAAAAACAGTTTTTTTAAAGAAAATAAAAAAAATACCCCGATAAAATGGACTATACACCTCATTATTTAAAAGGTATGCATGAAAATGTCGTGATTCACATGCAGGTGCTTTAATACAAGCTTTAATTTGGCATCAAATTGAGGCATGGTAGGATATTAGGATCCACTGATCAAACTATGTCGCCAGAGAATTTGTATATTCTTGGTCAGATTTCAGGATTGATACACATGTAGGAGCTATATAATAAACTATATCTTATTACACTGATTCTCACCTATATGTGCATTACTCAGTGGTATCAAGTTAGATAAAGTGGATTATTCTTAAAAGATGTTCTCATTCTTATTACTTCAAATACTTATATCTATCATACGAAATCCGATTTATATCATGTCATTAAGGTGATAAACTTTTGAATGATTAAATACATAGTGGTCATATCTAAGATTAAATTAACTGCGTACTATAGACCATTTGTACGATAAATGGTAATATTTGGCGAGTAATTCAGTTATATTGGTTGATTATCACTTGGCCAAACTATTTACACGAATTCAGACTACTGGTTGTGGTTAACAACGCATAAATATACAGTCCTCTTCCTTTTATAACAGATAAACAAACATTGCCTGAGAACTGTCATCCAGTTGTGAACAAATAGATTTATTTATGCCCATTAAGAATGGAGGGTATCCCTCGGTTACCAGTATCCGATCACAGGTGTCTACGAAGCACTGCTCGTGTATTTTGGGACCAGTGAATGAGCAATGCCTAGGTTGGAAATAGGGTATTAGATGAGGATGTGTTGGGGATGTTAGATCCCCAGATCTCACTTGGTGAATACCTTATTTTCGTGATTTTATTTTGAAAATTTGAATTTCTTTGTCATAGCGCCAAAATCGCTCTTTTCACAACGTCATATTTCCCACTTGGGAGAATCCTAAACGCTATTGGTCCGTTGTTTCTTTTAGTACGCTATTTTGTAACTCTTCCCAAGGACAGTTTTATGCTGTATATATATATATACGTTTGATTTACGCCTGTTGTTATCGCTCGTGCTTCTGGCTGCTTGCGGAATATATTTGCCGTTCGAACTTGGACTTCTCTCTCTAGTTAGCGGGGCTGGGACGCAGAATGGAAAATCGATTCGTGAGGTAGTAAATCTTCATCAAACGAAATGGTTGGGACATGTATTACATATGTCCAAGCACCTCCTATCTCGACGGGTGCTGTCGTCTGGTGTAGGAGTAGACTGGTAGAAAGCTAGGGGTGGTCAAATCAACACATGACATCAAACCATTAATTCATTGTCTGTTGAACTGAGCTGGGTAGGTAGACGCAAACTACCTGGTTGGAGTTCACGCGGTTATCATATCAAATGATTAGAGGCTTTGTATAACATGGCTCAAAATCGTTTGCCATGGTGCAGGCGCATCCATTCTTTGTCTCTCTCAAATTCTAAGATCCTAAATTACTCATAACTTTTTTATTTCATCAGTTTATATTTTCTTCTCGAATTGTATCCTCCATGTCTAATCTTTACAATCACCATTCATAATATTGCTACCTCTACAATTCTGGTGTTTTTCCTGACAAATTCAACACTGTGCTAATGAGGTATGAAAACTTGAACCGAACTTGAAAGTACAAGGTTCTACGTTGGGACTGACTAACTGACTCAACAAACAATAAACCAAAATACCTCAGCTTTATAGGGACTAAGTTGCGACCTAAATAACCCAGTGTTAGTGTAATTAATCGTAACACAAGGTAATACTGGGCTGAGAACCACAAGAAGAATCAGTTTCTCTGTCTAGCATGAAACGTATTTCCAAGCTTCTTTAAAGCTTATGTGAGTCTACCTAACACGTAATCCTGTTTGATTCATCACTCATATGAATGATTTTGTCCAGATGTTTTTATGATTCAAAGCCAATTTTCAGTAAACCAAATGAAATACATTGAAAAACTATTACAAAGTCAAGAAACTGTTATATTCTATTTTAGAACACTTCTTCTGTATACACTAACTAAGCTACACAGAATAGGACCTATATATTACGACCAACAACATCCAATTCAGATACATACACTTATCATGTATTTGCCCAATCAATAATCCAAGACAGAGAAATGTCTATGGAACCTTAATTTACAAAACCGAATCCATAGATATATAAATCAGTGTTGCATACACATTTGTCCTTCCGACGCAGTCAAGAATATGATACCTTGGCTAGGAGCACAATTAAGATCCTTTGATATAATGCCTCTTTTATAATCTTTTTATTGCTACTTGACTTTAGGGTGTTGTTTGAATACAAAAACATGATCTCCTTAGAATCATCCAGCTAACCACTAAAACTATAAGATCTCACTGAATGCATTATCATTTAAGGTCATATAATTGCAATCAAACTTAAATTTGTCTGATCCATGATATTCAATATCACCTATGAATTATTGTCTTATTGCTGACTTGATAAATTCTACACTCCATAGATATATTTTTTTCACTGCATCATCTTTAAGAAACTCATCTTAAAGTTAATCAGTAATCACTTAACTTAATAGTAAAACGTGTTTCATGTTACTGTTGAACAAATTAACAAAATCTCACTTACTATATCCCAAAATAATATATCGTAAAGGTATGAAATAGAGAATTATTGAAATCATTAAAATAGTCACCAAGAATAAACAACTCAAAGAAGGATATCTCCATCTGCATAAACTATAAAGGAAAATGAGAAAAAAGAGGGTTAATTATGGCGTATGTTGAGAGCAGTCAAGTTGACAACAAATAATAAAATCCTGTCAGATCATTAAAAAAACGGTTCAACTAAACTTTGTAGAAGAAACAAATTGACAAAATCTTTATCGTTGAATTGAAATTTAATCTGGACTGATTGGTGTTGTTTCTATAGGAACACAATGTCTTCATTTTTATGCTTATCTAAGATAACTGTGTTCCTTACCAGAAAGCTTTAATTTGGTATGAAATAGAACAGATCGACTGTGGGTAGACTTGGAGTCCAGGATAAATTCTCTGTCCTATCTGGAACTCGTCAGATGAATATATCTGCATGTCACTGTTGATGTTCACGTTGAAACTCAAACTCTAATAATAATAATAATAAAGTTGTTACATGGCTCCTCTACCAGCAAATAATCACGAAAAGTTATCCGTTAAACAATCACCTTTCCGAAAACAATAAAATCTGATTGACTGTTACCTATTAAATCATACCTAAACGAAAGGTTACAGCCATGAAGTGGCAATTCAAATTATTTGATGCTCTAAATCAACTGGACAGTATCAGAAATTGCCACGATCTCTTCAGGTCACACCTTCGTTAGGAATCCTTATTCATCCAAGAGGAGAATGTTAATAAACTGAAGAAGCTTACATCATTCAAATTGTATCTTATTATGAAGGTTAAATATCAACAATCAACGTAACATTCTTAGTCATAGATCATTTAGAGGTAACAATGCCTTATTATCTGATACTAAATGCCAAGTGGATTCGATCGATTAAACTGCAATATGGCCTCTTGTCTAAATAAATCACCGCCATCACGTGTTTTATTTGATATTAGAAGGTTAGATACAATAGACAGGAAGCTCAGAAATTAAGTTTTAGTTGGTTGTTTTTTGTTGGCAAGGTGTATCTGAAATGTTGATGGAACCAATGATTTTTGTAGGATCCCAATCCGACTATGATATTGAGTGATGGTTGTCAGTCAGATGGTAGATAGTTACTTGGCTCGCAGCCAAGAAACTTGACAACTAAATAATTACTGGACATTTCTTGAGCATATGGAAAACCTGTTGCTTTTAGTTATTATTTTTATATTGAATAATCCTTTTTATTTAATAGTGTGAAGTGATGAATTTCTAATACGCTTAACTTATACCTATTGAATAGCATCTATTATCAAGTGAGATATGTAATTTCAGTTATCAGGTTACCTAACCAATTATAATCACTTTGGGTTAAACGTGGAGTTGTACACTATTCCCAGTCTATTAGTGGGAATGTAAGGAACATTAGTAATTAAAGGGGTTGAAGTTCAAAAACGTTATTTTATGACTAGATAGATAAGTAAATACATTTAGTGAGCTACAGTGAATCGATGGCTACGTATGGTGTTAACAATCAATTATATAACTATATTGGGTTGACTCATTATCTCTAATATCCAACAATCTCCACGACCCCCTATGCTAATATGTAAGATTTATTGAAGCATTTTAATACTGCTAAGCCTCAATAAAGGTAATGGCATTCAACGTTCATCATCCCGACAAGGTGCAATCATTTCTAACAATTTTAAGCTGAGCTATGTAATGTATGCTGATACAGCCATTATAATCAGAGATGGATGGTGGCTAGTAGTGAAATTCAGGACACGCGTTTCGTCTTGTTTTTGACTTCCCAGCTGCACTGCCTCCAAATTCCTTGGTACGGCTGAGAGTAGGGAGAGTCGCCTCTCCCTCTCGAAATGCTCTCACATGACCACGCGTATATAGCCTCTATCAGGGAAGTCTTACTCACTGCCTTCTCGTGGTGTGGGTTTTGTTTACGAAATTGAGAGGACGAAAAGCGGATGTATGGCGCTTTGACCGGGTTGGTGGACATGGAGTCCACCTAGGGGAGTTGGAAAACCACAATTCCAAACCAATGGTGCACATGGGCTCCAGTATCCTGAAGGAAAAAATGGTGTATGAACCAATTATTGGTCAACGGCTACCATGGGACTGCATCTCCTTACGATGCTCCACTACCTTATGGATGAGACATTCAGGTCGAAGGCTCCGGGTGTGGCCCCCTAATAAAACCACATGCTTTAGTTCGTGCACTCGGGCAGTATCACAGCCCTCACAAAGCAAATGAGATTTGTGTGGCGCATATGTATTTGGTGCTTCCTTGTACCAATATCTATGTGTTAAAATAAATAAATAAATGTCAGCTAGACTCAGTAGCTAAGTGTATAACACAATGACGTTTGAAGTGAATGATACTGGGTCTGAGTCTCGGTGTGATCATCAACTCTGGGATCCAAGTACATCCGGATAACTAGTCTAAAATAGAATGAAACGCGCGTTCTGGCTTCCATTGGTAGCCACCACCCATCTCTGCTTATAATGTTCCTGACTTAAGGCAATATCGAGGCAGTCTTCAAAGGATGCACATACGCCAAAAAGTGATTGACTAATCACAGTCCTAAACGTCAATTGGAAGATTCAATCAATTAATACAAGATGAAGAACACTGAAACAATTTATTGACTTAGACATTTTAATATTAGTTTCGTTGATGTTTTGTTAACCAATCCATGCCAAAATCCCTGATTATTGTGATACTACTAATTACAAAAGTGGAGATTAAAATACTATCAAATAAAACTAATTTAATAGTTCAACTTACTAATTCAATCGTTCGAAGAATGATGTTATCCATTCAGCAATATCTTGCAATGTTCCGAGTACAGAACGAATCTTATTTAACTTTGCTGCTAAACTAGTTTTTTTATCTTTCTAAAGTTATAAAAGAAAAAAAAGGTGGAAGACTTTGACAGAAGAAAAAAAGGAGTTACATTAAAATTTATCATGGATTTTTATCAATTTTGATTGGTTTTTATAATGATACTTTCAATCTGTGACGGACTAAAAGCATTCAACAGCGCTATCGCAAGACATCTCCTTGACACAGGACATGAAGTCGATATATTGAAGTCCTTCAAGATGATCAACAAACAATCAAATTCAAACCTTTTGAAATTTGCCGAAGCGATGGCAATCAAACGTTTAAAACCAGATCTTTGTATACAAAAAGAAACAGTAATAAATCTTTCTTTGCCCTGGTAACATTACCCCCCCCCCGCCTTTTATTTATTACGTCATTCCAACTCTTTCTGAATTTTATACTTACATCATTCACAACTGACCAATTTCAATTCATATCTTTTTTTATAACCATTAATCTATTTTCAGTTACTTGATAACACAATCATCTAATGTTTGTTTACTCCATGGTTACTAATCAATATTTCAGTGTTCTGGAACCTTCCCTCCTGAACTCTTTATATTCGAAACAAAAAATTTTATGACCTCATTAACTCTAACGAAATCTTTGCTACATCATGTTACATATATTCATCCTTCATCAGCATCTGATGTATAAGTATGTCAATATCTATAATAACTTTGAATTTCAAATATTTTAGGTTGTAAAGGGGCTGATGAGAACCTAACGGAATAAAATGATTAACATATTATTCTCTACTAACCATTGTTCTTGCTCTCTTTAAAATAATAAAGGGAACTATGTGTATGAAATATACGTGTATTATAACAGATTACTTAGAATAAACAAATTATATAGAACAGAATGAGAAAAAGCTGAACTTTTCATTCATAAACCGATATGCAATAATGGACAACCGAGTATCCTTTGTGACTTTATATCTTTCAGTCATATGCTTTTGTGATATTAAGTCTATCAAGTTTATTAATTACTCATATTCATACTAATAAGTTATTGATTAATAACCGTTGTGAATAATTCAGTCCTACAAAATGTTATTTATGGTCCGACTAGCTCAGTGGTGATGTATCTGACTATAATACTGGGTCATGAGGTTTCTAATCTCACTGAAAGTAACAATTTTCTTTGAATTATAGATGCTCATTGCTCACGAATGACAACTATAGTATAAAAAATAGATCCAAAATATTCTGCTAACTGATTCCAGCTACCAAATTACATAGTGTTGGATAAAATAAAGACGAATCCATAATGTAATGAGTTAGGGTTCTTAATTTCGAAGTGTTTCGATCAAGACAATAATTAATAAAAAATAATCTAAAGAACAATTAATTTAATTTTTAAATATATTCATGAAAAATACCAGTCAACGATTTAGCCAGGAACAACAATGATCTTGGCAAAAGTTGTATCACTCTCCACTACTATATTTAACGTTTATTTATTTATTTATTTATTTCAACACATAGATATTGGTACAAAGAGGCACCGAATACATATGAGCCACAGAAATCTCTTTTGATATGTGTGAGGGCTGTGATAGTAACCGGGTGCCCAAACCGAACCAGGTGGTTTTCTTAGGGGCCCAGACCCGAGTCTTCGACCTGAAGGTTTGATTCACAAGGCAATGGAGCTACGTAAGGAGATGCAGTCCCATAGTAGCCGGTGACCAACGACTGGTTCATACGCCATTTGTTCCTTCAGGATACTGGAGCCCATGTGCACCATTGGTTTGAGATCCGGTTAAATCGCCGGACATTTGCTTTTCGTCCCCTCATTTTCGTAAACAAAACCCACACCACGAGAAGGCAGTGAGTAGGACTTCCCTGGCAGTGGCTATATACGCGTGGCCGTGTGAGAGCATCAACCGAATAAAGTATTGAAGGAAGCACTGGATGAGTGTTTCGAACTCTCCGTCCTGCGTAAACACAAAGCCTAAAATGGGTTCGAACACACGAGGTTTACATCTTATAGTAGGCATGAAATCAATTAGTTTTTGTGTAGTAATTTAAGAATTAGAATTTTCTCACTTCAGTTAATTAAGGATGATTTCGGTAGTTATCTAGTTCTATTGTGAGGATACATTAGCTAAATAAGTTAAAACTTTCAATTCAGTATTTGATACTAATTTACTTAAAATGGATAAAGAAATATTTTTCTGGAAGTAAGCACATGAGCTGTTGAACAATTAAGGATTGAAAATGATTGACACCTACTGACGGCTTATTTGCTGAAGACCCCTAAAACTGGCATGAAAACTATGAATGATGACTAATGCTTTGTTTTCAATATTTGTTGAAAAGTTAATAATTTATGATTAAGACCGTCTAAAACACATAAATCTATTACAAAACTTGGGCATTTCTTCATTCTTTTCTCTTAACATTCCCCTCTATTGATAAGGTATTTTCAAAACAACTTTCCCGATAACTTGTACTTTATAAAGTTTGACTGAATAATTAAAATGAATAAAGGGTTTTGTGGATATTATAGGGATTTTAATAGCTGAAATCATGAGTGAATTGAAGCTAGACCACCATGGATAACCTGGAATCACTGGACGGCCGTTTCGTCCTATTGTGAGACTCCTCAGAAGTAGCATTCACGATCCCGCCTCGTGAGACTCGAACTCAGCACCTATCAGTCTTGCGTGCGAGCACTTAACCACTAGACCACTCAGCCGGTCGGGATCCAACAATGTTAATCTCTAACTTCAACTAATCCACGAAATTGAGTGACACACCCACCATTGTCTTCAGTCAGTTACTATCTCACAACAGACCTAGTTGAAATCCACTGGTCACTGCTTGTCACTAGAACTCCAGGATATATCTCTTGAAGCCAGACACTAGTGAGCATATGCTGATTAGTATCAGAAGGGGTTTTGCGGATATTATAGTGAAGTATATTATAGTTGAAGCGTTGGATGCCAGCCAGTTCAGAGGTCTAGAACGTCCAGGTTTTCCATGTTGGTCTAGCTTCAGTTAACTCATGATCTCAACTGTTTAAGTTATAACTTTGTTGTGTTTCATAAGAGTTTTAATATGTTGTTTAGATGATAAATCCACTACATTTTGTCAATGCATTGTCATGGAGGCTGACAAGAGTGTATATTTTTAAACGTTTATTCTTGTGAATTAAGCATTAAAACCAAGGTCAAAAATAAGGTAATTACTTTTCTCTTTAAAATTGCTTCATCTTCATCATCCATATCAGAGTAGTCACCATAAATCTATAAATTGTGGTCAATATTTATTATCGGAAATTAAATTTGTTACCTCTGGATCAATGATGTCTTCATCGTCTTCATTCTAAATAAGAGAAAATTTATTGGTTTCAGCTAGATTTAATTATAATAAACACTTGAACCTACTTAAATATAAAGGTCAGGATGATTTGGAGTAAAGTGTTCAGTCACAACCGGTTAAAAACACCATTCTTTCTGACTTGGTAGATACTGAACATCATATCAAAATAGAGGAAGCTTTCTCTGTTTTATATCAAGTTCCAAAATATCTACTTCAAGGAGCTAGATTACGACTGCTTTACATAGCTGAAGCTATCTGGATCAACTCCAGAAGACCAAATATATGTACCCGGAAAAAAATATATCCAGCCTATTTGCTTACCTTGGCCTACGACTGGATCACCGAATACCTAGACTGAATATTATAAACCTCTTACCCCCTTCCTTTATTTTTATTTATTTAATTTTTTCCCTTATTATCATTATTTTTGATTATCTCTATCTTAATCTTCACATCCATCATTCCCAATTCGTTGATCGTAATTACCTTGATAACACCCTCCTTATTACGCATTATATTCACACAACAATCTTATTATTATTATCTCAATGGACAAGATGAAATTCTCCTACTATGCATTTTATTCACACAGTTTTTTTGCATTTTCATTTTTGCTATAATACTATTATACTTATGGTGACTGAACACTTTACTCTAAATCATCCTGACCTTTATTGAATGACCTTTCTAATTTGTCAAATAATACAATTTTGAAGTACACACATATCGTAACAGATGCAAACGTGCACCATTTTTAACACGTAACATTGTTAAATTCATTAATGTCATGCCTTATTTTTGCCCTTTGTAAAATACTATAATTATGGACTTATAACTGTAGAGCCTGATGATCGAGTTATTGAAGACAATTGTTCGCTCAAATATACTTCAATTTTGAATATTCTATGGGGATTTTTAAACGTACCAAAATACTTTTCAAAAGTTTTACGGAAAGTTTAGGGTGATTTATAAATTTCACAGGTTGAAATCATGAGTCAATTGAAGCTAGACCACCATAGAAAACCTGGAAGCACTGGACGGCCGTTTCGTCCTAGTATGGGACTCCTCAGCAGTGCGCATCCACGATCCCGCACCCCGCCGTTGGATGCCGGCTCAGAGGTCTAGTGGTTAAGTGCTCGCGTGCGAAACCAGTAGGTCCTGGGTTCGAATCCCGCCGTCCAGTGCTTCCAGGTTTTCCATGGTGGTCTAGCTTCAATTGACTCATGATTTCAACCTGTGAGATTTATAAATTGCTAAGTTTGTATTCTTAACTTCCAAGTCTCGGAATTTCATGTCATTTGTTCCATGTTTGATTTATTAAACATAATTTCTTTGAAAAAACTTTTAGACAGTTGAGGCACACTGAGAATACTCATTTGATACTGTGATATCCCGATCAGAATAATGAATGGTAATTGTTGGAATCTATTTCTGGACTAATACCATACGCATATTTTTATTGTATAATTGTTAAATAGCTAAACTATTCATATTCGTGTTCCTCTTATCATAAGCTTTATTTTGATCTATGAACTATTATTATAAGATTTACCATTCTTGAGTTATACGCAGTCTATTAATTACAATCTCCCACATTCACAGTCACATTTGGCCAAATCTCGTACAAATGTTATTTTCTATTTTGTGATGCGATGTGGTCTGTTTGGTTTGCATGTAAACTCAGTATGTTTGAAATACGTGATTTATATCGCAGAGGCTGAGACTGGCGCTCTAAACTTAACCGGCAGGGCTAGACAGGAAGCAGGACCGATAAGGACTCTAGAGTGCTTGCACAGGTTTACGTGTCATTGATCCGGTTGATAATTTACTGTTCTCTAATTGACGGTATCATTCGTTATACATTGATAGGAGCACAAGCATATCAGTTATAGCAGATACCTCTTGTTTCAAGCAGGAATCAGGTAGATAAATTTTACCAGTAAACAAATACACGACAGTTTCCTTAAAGGAAACCAGATATTGATACTTAGGTAAAACTCTGAGATTAGGACTGTGAGTGAAAACTATTTATAAGCATCAAATTAGGATAAAACAACTGTTCAGTGTTACCTTGTCCCTAAACATCTCATCAGCTTATATTAATCAATTATTTAGATCTATTTTTTAAAATATACTAATCTATCACAACTCAATCAACGTAACAAGCCATTTTTCACTTTGTTCACTTACCTCCTCACTATCTGAATCTTTAGATCTAGAAAATCGAAGAAAATTTATTGATGTTGGAGATAATAATAATGATGAAGTGGAATATATCCTTGGGACAATCAACATGATGATCATAAATAAAGCTAAGAAGAAACCAATCATATATGGTTGAAAATATAAAACAGCCAATTCAAATGTTATCAAACTGATTAATGATACAAATGGTCTTTCCCATGAATAAAGTTTATGAAAAGCTTGTCCACTTTTTTTTATATAATCTACATACGGTGTAAGACGATCAATATTGCGTTGTAAGAGCTACATAATTTTGTTTTAAAAAAAAATCAATAAAAGGGAGACAATGAAAAAACCATGAAATGAGAACTATCATAAATGAACTCAAATATTTTTAATAATCATAACTGAAAGTTTATGAGTAGTCAAAATTAACTAGTCGTAATATTATACAAGAGGAAATACTTGAAAATGAGAATATTTGTTATACTAAACTTTTAGTTATTTAATATTACAGTCAGTCAGTAACAACATCAGTTCGAGTTGCCACACCACATTAGCACAGAGATGCAGTTGTCGATTCAAATCCCGTAGTGGTAGAGGTAATAAGAGTATAAGCAGTAATCGGGAAGATTAGGGTTTGGAGATGTTATTTAAAGAGTATAATCCAGTGAAATAAATTTGGAGAGAGGAAAAAAGGGACATGAAGAATTTAGAAGATTAGAATTTGGGAGAACACAGAGAGTGGATGCACATGCGCCATTGCAAACGATTTTGAGCCATGTCATTCAGGGTCTCTAACCATCGATTGCTGTCATCTCGCGGTCCTCAACCAGCTAATCTACACCTACCAACATGACTCAGTCCACTTGTCAGTGACTTCATGGACTTGTGTCATGTTTTGGTCTGGCCGCCCCTAGCTTTCTTCCAACCTATTCCTATACCATTGAACATCGTACATCGAGTCAGTCGGTGGTTGGGCATACGTAACACGTGTCCCAGCCATCTCAACTGATGAAGTTTCACTACTTCATCAATTGATTTGCCATCCTTACCTAGTACCCGTTTCCTAACAAATGCGTTACTTACTCGATGGTCCCATGATATACGAGCAATATTTCGAAGACACCTTTGATCGAATACTAGTAACCTACCAATATCCTCTACTCTCACCGCCCATGTTTCACTGCCGTAAAGTAGGACGGAACGAACTGCTGAGCAGTAAACACGTCCTCTGGTTGATAGATGGATATCTCGCCTACGCCATAAATGACGCAATTTGGCAAAAGCTAATCGAGCCTTCTGTATCCGTGCTGAGATTTCGTCCCACACCAGACCACAATGGCTGATGAGACTTCCCAGATAAGTGAAACGGTCGACACGCTCAACTACCTCACTCCCTATCATTAGTTCGTGTGTCGATTCAATCCAATCCTGAAATAACATTTTGCATTTCGAGGGGGAGAATCGCATCCCGAACAGATAGTCAAGGTAAATATCTCATGATTCTTTCACTGAACGTGACAGGTTTGTTTAGAAAATATCTGATAACTTGTACAGATGCTTACAAGAAGTAGCTAAATTAAACATTAACATTTTAGCGTATCGGTCAACACGGTAGAATTTCATTCTTCTTGACTCAAATTCACACTGTTACGTGATCTGCATAAATCATTCAGTGTAAATAATTTAATCATTTTTTGATTACAATATTAGGTTGAAAGTATTTGTAGAGTTGTACTTCTAATTCTAGTAGTTGAGATCATGAGTCAGTTGGGGTTATACCACCGTAGAAAACCTGGATGCACTGGCCGGTCTTTTCGTCCTGTTGTGGGACTCTGCAGAAGTGCACATCCACGATCACGCCTTGCGAGATTCAAACCCAGGACCTATTGGTCTCGTGCACGAACGCTTAACCTCTAGACCACTAAGCCGGCATCCAGTTGTAGTTCTGTTAAATTACAAATTTTTAAAGTCGAAAAGCTAGATAAAGGTTTAGTGCTTCTGTGGCCTTGAAAAAAAGTTGTCATCAATCTAAAAATATTTTCATTGTCCTGCAAACAAACTTGTTCATATTCTATGTGATAAGTTCTGTTATAACGCTCGGTTTTACTTCATCTAATGTTATAATGGTTGGGTTTCTACGTTTGCACGTATGGGACGTTAATGTACCTTAGACGAATATCTACAATAGATTCCCTCCTATTGTCTATTTTACAGGACGTCAACACAACTCAGATCAAGAACACGTTATTAGCCTGACCACAACGTAAATATATTTCCACACCAAAAATCCGACACAATCCAACAACAATGAACAATCAATAATAAGTGAGTCACATCAATAATAAGGGTAGTGGAATATATAACTCATCTGACACCTGTCAGACTATCTATATATCTGACTAAGCAGACAACCGATCATTATCATTCTCGCCCACACATCAAGTTCCATTCGAATATTTTAATAAAACATGCATTACCAGTTTCAATTGAGTAATGTGACAATCTATATTGGAACATGATATATCTTCCGACTGTACACTTGAATTGGTTTCCTAAACTCTTCAAATATCCCCAGACTAACTCTACACTACAATTAGAACATGGGAGAAAAGGCGCGTAATATGGAAAGTACGCCTTACTCCGAGGTTAGTTTATTTATTGAAAATTCAAGGTATTTATAGCATTTCAGACGGGCTTGGACTTCTGGGAAGTTCCAGAACCCAAAGAAACATAGCAACAGGCTAGGTAACCATCCAATCAAAAATGTGACACGTGACTTTTTACTTTTCAGGTGTTTTTGAGAAATTTATATTCAGGGCTTACTGAATAAAATGTTCTCCACAGTTTTCAGGGACCCTTTTGGCTTTCTTCGAGTTTTCCGGGTCTCCCCAACAGAATAAAACATGTTTTTAGATGTAATTCGAAATATTATACCATCCATTAACTAAAAAAAACATGTTTCTCAAAGAACCACTCAGCTACAAAGTCCATATTAAGTCAATATCAGGATCACCTGAGCATGAGTAATGAATATAATACTAAAATTGATTTGGACTGATAATGACGTTAGGCTTTTCACTGTGACACCATTCAACGGAATTGTATTTCTAGAATTACTACAAGACTGTAGATAATGAACTGGAGGCCATTAAACGACTACTAATTAAGGTTGGAAGCCATCAGTTTGTTTTACTTGAAGTCTAGAAAACACTGGTAATCCATCTGGGACTACTACTTGATATAAAATTTTCCAACGTATAAGAGGTTAAGTTGGGTAAGAATTTTCAATGGAGCATTGGTTCTTTAAAGACTACAGAAACACTAGTGTAGTAATTGCTAACTAGTAAAAAGACCTAGATTTAAGAGTAAATTTCGAATGTTTCCAATCATCTAACTCTAAAGTAGATGAACTATAATTTTTAATCATTCAGAATAAAAACTATGTTCTAATTTTGGTAATTAATTGGTGCCAAATTATTTTCAGAATTTGAGAAAAACTCACAAGTAATATATATACTTATACACTGATTTTTCAATATAGGATTGTGGAGATTATTAAGTTTTTGATTGAGATCATGAGCCGGTTGATGTTAGACCACTGTTGATAACCTGGAAGCAATGGACGACCGTTTCGTCCTATTGTAGGACCCCTCAGCAGCGCTCATTCACGATCCCTCCGTGGCCAGTGGAGATACTCCGTATCGGGTAGAGACAGGTATCTACCTCAGCATAATGGAAGATGATCGCGCAATGCCGCGGATTGGTTGAGGTTAGACATTAACACTGCTAGATCCCGGACAACGCAGTGGTCTAGAGTTCAGGCGTTCTCACGCGAGACTGATAGGTGCTGGGTTTGAACCCCGTGAGCGGGATCGTAGATGTGCACCGCTGAGGAGTCCCATAATAGGACGAAACAAACATTTAGTGCTTCCAGGTTTTCCATGGTGGTCTAACATTAATTGGTTCGTTATCTCAATCAAAAACATTGATTTTTATTAACGTTTTTAAAGATAACAATAATAACCATTAAAAATATGAAGTCATCAAGACTGACTTACAGGTAAATGCTTCTTTGTAAAATCCTATAAAATAAAGTAATTACACGAATCACTCTCAATTAATTGAATCTCAGAATTCAAATACATAAGCATTATGTTTTACAAATTGTATTTTAATTCCAGTAGATCAATAAAACTGTAACTAGTTCCATGCTTTATTGAACATCTGCTGAACAAATAATTATCAGATAAATGTAATCAACTGAAGAATTTATGAAGATTACATTGAATTATAGATAGAATTTCTCCCGAATTGGCTCGATTACTTGAGAGTATGCAATCGATTTTTGCCTAGTATAAGATTCAGAAATATTGAATGCTCATGGCCATACCAGAGACTAAATACAGTATCATCAATTTTTGAGGCTAATACCTTACTTTTTGGTTATACAGTTAGAGTTTAGTTCTCCCATTAATTTAGGAATACAGCACGACAATCATCCATGTAAATCAATAACGGATTTTTAATAGCTGAACACAACATTCCAAAGTTGTTTTTGATTTTACTACATATTTATCAGTATTATTATTATTATTATTATTATTATTATTATTATTATTATTATTATTATCATCTACAATCACTAAACTAGACTTTATTCCACTTAGAGAGTGAACTTTTAGTCAGTTCATGCTGTTAAAATAAACAAAACCTTTTTATTAGATATAATATAGCGATTAAACATGTTAATACATTTTGGTTAAATCAACACACAATATACCTAATCGATAGAATTCGGCTAATCCATAACATTACTTACTTACGCCTGTTACTCCTCATGAAGGAGCATAGGCCGCTCACCAGAATTTGCCATCCAACTATATCCTGGGCAATCATTTCCAGCTCCTGACAGTTCCTATTCATCCTTTTCATATCTGCTTCTATTTCTCGGCGTAATGTGTTCTTTGGCCTTCCTCTTTTCTACTTCCCTTCAGGATTCCAAGTTACGGCTTGTCTCGTGATGCGGTTGAATGATTTGCCTAATGTATGTCCTATCTATTTCCATCGTCCTTTCCTAATTTTCTCTTCAGTTGGAAGCTGGTTTGTTCTCTCCCAAAGAAGGCTGATGCTGATGGTATCCGGCCGATGGATGTTGAGTATCTTGCATAGACAACCATTTATAAATACTTGTACATTCTTGATGGTGGTTGTTGTGCTTCTCCAATTTTCAGCTCCGTACAATATGGCTGTTTTGACGTTCGTATTGAAGACTCTGACTTTAATATTGGTTGATAGACAGTTGTTTTGAGTTCCATATGTTCTGCTTTGCCAATACTCAACTTTACGTCTGCATCTAAACCTCCTTGTTCATCGATGATGCTTCCCAGGTATGTGTAGGGTTCTACATCTTCCAGAGTTTCTACATCGAGGGTGACTGGATTGCTGTTCTCCGTGTTGTATTTGAGGACCTTAGTTTTCGCCTTGTGTATTTTGAGGCCTACTGATGCAGAGACTGCTGCTACACTGGCTGTCTTTATCTGAATTCGTTTGTGTGCATTGGATGTTTATCTAATATACAGATTCCATTGAGTTATGTTAAACAAGATTAAAATTTTTAAAAAAGTTTTGACTGGAAAAAAACAATTGAAAAAATTTAATTCAAACACTGAAACTGACTTACCCGTAGTTTAACTTTACTATCTTCAACAAATAGACGTTTTTCTTTAGGATATAATGCACGAATTGAAGCTTTAAGCTGGGAATTACAAAATGGAAATGGAAAATAATTAATGACTATAGTCCTATGAAAGCTCATTTTCATTCATTCTATTGATCTAGTGGTTAATATAAGAGGAATTTGTGGAGATTTTTAGAAATTTGTTGTGAGATATCAACTCACTGAAGACAATGGTGTACGGTGGCGCAACTTCGTGGATTGGTTGAAGTTAGACATTAACACCGTTGGATCCCGGACAGCTCAGTAATCTGGAGGTCAAGCATTCGCGCGCGAGACTGATAGGTGCTGGGTTTGAGTCTTGCGAGACGTGATCATGAATGCGCGCTGCTGAGGAGTCCCACAATAGGACGAAATGACCGTCCAATGCTTCCAGGTTTTCCATGGTGGTCCAGCTTCAAATGACTCATGATCTCAACTATTGAAATTACTACAATCTTCACAAAACTCCTTCTAAAATTAATTTACATTATTAACTTTCACTATTAGTCAGAATATGACTGTATTTTAGCAATCGATAAATTGAATTTAACATCAGAACTCCTTCAAACTCCTTCAAACTGGGAATATCGACTGTTATTTACTGATTATAATACTTGAAAGTTATGTGTTTAATCATTGGAACAGTTGTGATGTTGAACATACCGTAATAATCAGATCCATATAAATGTGAATTAATATCATTACGGACCTCTTTGGATTTTAATTAAAATAATCCAAGTGATGTTGACCAACTATAAAGTGGTAAACATTATTTCATTTAGATTAAAACTAACAATTGTCAGGATGTCGGCGTAGACCCACCGATTGAAGTCAGTGTAAATAGTTAGGTGGGAATACCCAACCATAGCCACTACCTTGACATGGCAGCCAAACTTGCCTATCGTGTTGAATTAAACCGAAAAATAATAACTGAAGTTACAATTTATATGAAAAACTATTGTGGATATAATTGCATAAGGTAAATCTGAATTCATAAAGCTTTAATCATGCCATGATGTTAAGTAATAGTGAAACATTAAAAATCGTCGATATATCAATTTTCAACTTGCCGTTTGGGTATACATAAAAACCGTTATGTGGTTATACATGCAGCTAGGTAGTAATGTATTGGATTATCTTTGAGATAACTCCTAAGGCTTCGTATATAAATCGACGTCATAGCCATTATTAAATTAATCCCAACTATGTATGAATTTTAGAAGCCAAAAACGAAGCGCCAACTACACTATTTTATTGAGTAGTACAGATTTCTAAGCTACAAACACACCAATCGGATTCAATAGGAAATTTGGTTAGTGTTATTATAATTTTTCATAAAGGACTTCCATGAACACTCAATGATCTTCCTTCATCCTTTGTAAGTTACCAACGTCCATATGGATGCAACGTTAAGCAATGACGAGGAAGAAATTGTCTCGATTAACTCAGAGGAGTTCACTGGACGAGACGACGACAATGACGAAAACGCGTATGACAACAGACTTTGTGATATTTGATACGAGATACAATGTGCTGAAGAATAGATTATCGGTTTATGTGCCAACGTAGGGAACGACAGATTTTGCGCTTTACACGTTACTACCGTCCATAATTGGAAGAAAATGTGCTATGTCGTCAAATACTGACGGTTTATATCAATTTTAAGAAATAAACGACCAATTATAACGAACTTGAAACTAGCTATTTGATTGGACGAAACAGAATGAAAATTATTGGGAGATGAGGATTTAAAAAAATTTCACTCGTAAATAAATGCAAAAATGGCCGTGAAATTAATGTTAACCATCACCTAAGGACATGAATTCAGCTGCGATGAAGTCAAATTTCCGGAATTCTAACGTGCCATAGAATTTCTAGTATTTAGATCAGACTGCAATCAACAGATATAATGAGACAAACCTAATCAATCGACCTATACGAAAACGGTCAGTAAGCCATAATTTCAGAGGTCAGTCGTGTGACATGATCAACTTGATTATTAAAAGAACAGGTGAATATAACCAAAATCTATAAATGTTGTTTTGTAGAACGACAATGAAATTCCACATAGACCAGAGAACATAACAACATCAATAAAATAACATTTTAATCATTGATCAATAAGTTGCTTACAGGATTGAAAATAATAATAGTCTGTAGTAGAATAGAACCTTTAGCTAATGTAGTCAATGATTTGTCTTTTAATGCATACCATTTCTGTCTACGATTAACAAGCTGTAAAAATCAAAACAAAGAATATCAAAAAGCGGGATAAAATAAAATTTAAAATTTAAGATGACTTCAGATATGATGTTGTCTTGTAATTATATAAGGTTGAATTCATAATATTACTCCACAAATGTGCGCCTATTAAGTCATGATAATTGTCTGTAGCTCCTCTAGAGTTACTTCCGGTTCCAAACCCGGGTAAGGAAGGAGGATCGGCAACCCTATCCCTTAGAATAAGACCTTTCTAAAAAATCGCTAACCAGAATAAACAAATTAGACCATTTAAACTCCGTCCTCTGAGTTGAAGGATCTTCGTTCAGAAGAATTATGATGCGTCATGATGAAAGCCGAGATTTTCCGGAAGTCACGAGGTCCATGCTCTTTCTAACAACCAGAGCAATAATTAATATAAGTACATAGAATGCTCGGACGATGTGGCAGACCAAGAGGACCAACCAAATAGATGCGGAAAGAAAAGGATACAGCTTGGTGGTGCTCGGAATAAGTGAAACCCACTGGACACAAGCGGAACAACAAAGGATAGATTCGGGAGAGATACTGTTGTACTCGAGTCACGAAGAAGTAAAAGTTGCACACACTCACCGAGTTACTTTGTGATATGTGGGCGAGAATGATAATGATTGGTTGTCTGCTGAGTCAGACATGTAGATAGTTTGACAGGTGTCAGATGAGTTATATATTCCACTATCCTTATTATTGACGTGACTCAATTATTATTGATTGTTCATTGTTGTTGGATTGTGTCGGATTTTTGGTGTGGAAATATATTTACGTTGTGGTCAGGCTAATCACGTGTTCTTAATCTGAGTTGTGTTGACGTCCTGTAAAATAGACAATAGGAGGGAATCTATTGTAGATATTCGTCTAAGGTACATTAACGTCCCATACGTGCAAACGTGGAAACCCAACCATCATAACATTAGACGATGTATAACCGAGCGTTATAACACTCTGATGCTATCCGAAGAAGTAAGTTAGGCACTTGTAGGATGGGAATCTCATGAATCCAGGATCGCCAAAGAATCCTTCAAAGCAAAAAATGAAGGAATCACAATGATTGTTATCCATTACTATGCACCCACCGATGATAGCAACGATGGCGATAAAGATCAATTCTAAGAGAGGCTCCAGTCGATGTTAGATAAGTGCTCAAGAAAGGACCTGACAATCCAGATGTGAGATGTAAACGCCAAAGTCGGGAATGGATAACAACGGTTATGAAGATATCATCGAACGACATGAAGTAGGAGGAAGGAACGAAAGTGGTGAGAGATTTGCAAATCTATGTGAATTCAGCAAATCGGTTATAGGTGGCACAGTATTCCCACACAAAGCTACATGGATCTCGCCGGACCACATCATGGAGAACCAGATCGATCATATTTGCATCGGTAAAAAGTTCACAAGGTCAATCGGAGACGTAAAAACCACGAGCGGTGCTGACACAGCTCCAGACCACCACCTGGTGGTTGTCAAGGTGAAACTAAAGCTGAAGAAGCATTGGACAACTGGAGAAACAGCACTACAAATGTTCAATACAGCCTTCGTTCGAGATACTGACAGACTCAACAAATTCAAGTTCGCTCTCAATAACACGTTGCAAGCCTTATAAGATCTATTCAAAGAAGGAACTACTATGGAGGACAACTGGAAAGGAATCAAAGTAGCACTAACTTCAACGTGTCAGGAGATTTGGTTCTGGGCTACAAGAAGCATCATCATAAGGAATGGATCTCTGTAGAAACCCTATACAAAATTCAAGAAAGGAAGAACAAGAAGACAGCAATTAACATCAGCCGAAAGAGAACAGAGAAAATCAGGATACAAGCTGAATACACAGAAGCAAACAAGTAAGTAAAGGGGAAGATTCGAGCCGACAAGCAGAAATACGTGGAAGACCTGGCAGAGATAGAGAAAGAAGCTGCAACAGAAGGAAATATGAAACAACCATATAACACAACGAAAAAGCTAGCATGGAAACATAGTACGTAAGAGAGACCAGTCAGGGAAAAAGAAGACCAGCAAATCACTGAGATTCAAGAACAGTGGAACAAGTGGGTAGAACACTTTGAGGGACTCGTGAATAGACCATCACAGCTGAACTCATCGGATATTAAAGCATCTCATACAGACCCTTCTATAGATGTCACTCCACAGACGATCAAGATCAGGATGGCCATCAGACAGAGGAGGAGGGTTAACAGCCTTATCTGACTCCGGTCCTCACAGGTGATGCGTTTGTCAGCTGTCCTTCATGCAAGAAACTTTACAGTGTAGTCCGTCGTATGAATTCCATATGATATTGACGATATTACCTGGTTCGCAAAATTAGTTTCTTTGATTCGTAGATATCTGATGATAAGCTTCCTCACTGAGCCACATCAGTATGCAGCTATAAGTTTACTTTGAGCATTTGGCCGTTATGCAATCTAACATCATTCATATTGATGTTATTTTCAGGATTATTATTTTGTTTTTAGATACAGTTTGACTGAGAATATATAAACAACTAAAGACTAATTAATATTATCATCCAGGTTTCCAACGGTGGTCTAACATCAATTAATTCATGATCTCAACCAAAAACTTAACAATCTCCACAACCCCCCATACTGATATCCATTATTGTTTAACACTTCGAATTGACTAATGTTTGGACTGTGCAGCAATAAATTCCGACTCACTTGTATGTATATGCCAAAAAACATCTAGTTAGTTTTATATCCAATTTGTAGGCTAACTAAATTAAATTCTTTTTAAAATTAACAAATTATGTACACAAATGAATCACTCTTTGAACAAATACAAACGACGATAATACTTCTAAGAAGGGGCTTTTTTGTAGATGTTAGAGGTTAGGCGTTCGTTCGCGAGACTGATATGTCCTGGGTTTGAGTCTCGCGAGACGGGATCGTGAATGCGCACTGCTGAAGAGACCCAAAATAGGAGAAAACGGCCGTCCAATGCTTCCAGGTTTCCCATGGTGGTCCAGCTTCAATTGACTCATGATCTCAACTACTGAAACTACTTTCTAATGTAATTGAACATTTTTAATGAATATATCATGTAAACGATTAAGAAGAGAAAACAACAACAACAATAGAATATGCTATGGAAAGCTCATTTAACTTACTTGTATGAGCGGAAATGAAATACATCCTGTTAATTCAGATGACTCTTTGCCTTCTTCATAGACATGTACTTCCAAAACAGAATACATATCTTCAATTGGACTTGAATAAATAAATAAACAGTAAAGACATGCAACTGAAGTTAAGAATAAATTCATTTGGTATTGTTTATTTTAATCTTCCAATTGATGTTTAGGACTACAATTGATCAGTCTCTTATTGGCATATTTGCATACTATGCGTATTGCCTCGATATTGCCTCAATTCATTTCCTTAATCCATTTTTGCTTACGAAGTTAAGAATAGTTTATTTTATATCCATCTCATTCTAATCATAAAATTAGATAGAGATTTTAAACTGATTTAGCGAACGAGGAATTCTGTAATTCTGTTTCTCAATATTATTTCCAGTTTTATTTCAATATGATAAGTGCTTATTTTATTTTAATGCAACAATTTTGTCAGCCTTTCAAATGCCCTGGTACGGCTGAGAGTGGGGAGAATCTGCTCTCCTTCTCTAAATGCTCTTACATGGCCACGTGCATACAATCACTACTAGGGGAGTCCTACTCACTGCCTTCTCGCGGAGGGGGTGTTGTCTACGAAATTAAAAGAACGAAAAGAGAATGTTCGTCGCTTCAACCGCGTTGGTGGTTTCACCTAGAGGAGTTGGAAAACCACGATTCTAAACCAATGGTGCACGAGGTTTCCGGTATCCTGGGGGGAAAATGGCGTATGAACCAATTACTGGTCACCGACTACTGTGAGACTGCATCTCCTCATGTTGCATCGACCATTAGGTCGAAGGCTTCAGGTATGACCCTCTATGAAAACCACCTGCCTCGGTTTGAGCACCCGGGCAGTATCCAAGCTCTCACACAAATCGAACAATTTGTGTGGCACATATCTATTTGGTGCCTTCTTGTACTTATGTTTATGTGTTTAAATAATAATAATAATAATAATAATAATAATAATAATAATAATAATAATAATAATAAAATACAGAATGTTAGTAATTTATTTTCAGTCTGATACTGATTCAGTGTATTTTTTGCATTCAAGTAATATGAACTATTTCTAACATGAAATGTAGCATTTATTCTTACAATATTTCTGCGCATTTTTCATACATCTGATACCTGTTGAATAATTACCAAATATGTGTACAAGTCAATGTATAAATGAATGTATTTCTGATTGAAGACGTGATGTTTTAGAAGGGTCAATAAATCATCGTTTTCATCAGTCTTCTATGTTGTTACTTCTTAATCAGATAACCATTGAAAAGCAAGAAGCATCAAACAGCTATTTTGTCTTCCTGGTAGTAGATATTCATGACTTCATCACACAGGAACGAACCCAGGATCAAAATAATTTGTGTATGTGAAGGTTTGTATCACTGTAAAACTTTCAAAACCGATCAAAACCTTTAATTTTCCAATATCGACTTATTGCAGTGTATTCGATTTACTTCTAGCTTATACTATAACGTCATTTTGATGACCTGAAATGGACTGACTACCAGATCGGCCATACAAAACACTATCTACGCGCAAATAAACTTGTGATAGAATCTAGAATAATCAAGTCTGTCGATTGACATAGTATCATTAAAACACTGAGTTGTAATCCAAAGGTTTATATTTTGAATTCCGGTCAGTTGGTATTATAAATTATAGTTCCACTCACAATTTGATTTGTTTCACAGTTTGGAATTTACACTTCAAACCAATCTAGTATCTCGGACCTATTTTTGCACGTCTAAAGACTTAAATAATATCAAACGGTGGTTGGAGGTAGTCGACGGGAAACCGTGGACCCAGGTTTCGTTCTGCTTGCCACTCGCTAGCAAGGTGCACCTGTAATCTCGAAGGGACTGGTGCTCCCTGGCGGACTCGATCTCGTGTCACCCAGCTTCACAGTCAGAGACGTTACCACTGAGCTATCTGAGCTGCGACCGACCCCCTATAGGACTGAGATGTAATTACAATTGATTGATCACTGGGTGGCGATCACTGTTATACGTGTCTAGTCCTTATTAGTGTATATCGAATGCTATCGATCACGTTGCAATGTGGCCACCTCCAACCACCTTCTAATGTCAATATATAGTGCCCGCAGTGTCGAGTCACATAGACTGGTGGCCACATTGCAACATGATCGATAGCATTCGATCTGCACTAATAAGGACTAGACACGCATAACATTGATCACCACCCAGTGATCAATCAATTGTGACTTAAACAATATAGTTTCGATCTTCTATTTTTGGGTTTCTCAATCTACTAATTATTGAACAGTGAGCATTAGAAAGAAAATTTACTCTTATTATTATTATTAGATGTATGAAATTTCATTTTATGATAATAATAATAGTAATAATAATAATGATTGTAAGAATTAATATGAATAGTATAATGTGAACACGTAGAAAGATGTAAATGCAAAGTAACTGAAGTAAGCTTACAATACAAATGCTTGATTCCATGCAGGATTAGCATTCTTTTGTGCTGTGAATGTTCGTACAACTCGATTAACAAGTCTTATTTCACAGAAAACATTAGATTTTCCACTTCGATCTTTTGCTGGTAAATTAGACGCTCGATTTACTGTACACAAGAAACAAAAAATAAATTTTAAATTCTTTAATCGTAAATACTTGGATTAACGCCCTAGAATGCATAAGACAAGAACGTGGCATTGGTCCACAAAGTCATTGATAATTTGGCTGGGCCATATAGGTAGGTGCAAGCTCCCTAGTTAGGGTCTGCACGATATTATTAGTAACCAATGTCTAAATACTGTGATCAGTATGGCTCAGAATTATTCCCATTGACGTGGGTGTTTTCACGTTTTATAATCCCTCAGGGTTTGAAATTTATATTATATTATAATGTTCTGATTCCAGGAATCTATATTTACTTAAAAAAACATGCATTCTATGTCAAATCTTTTATTATTATTATTATTATTATTATTATTATTATTATTATTATTATTATTATTATTACTGGGACTTGTCTTGACAATTTGATCTCGCTATGTCAATGTAGTATGGCAACTTGAACCAATGCACATATGTGCTAGGTTCTACGTAACTGATTGTCTAACTGGTAATGTGATTGAATATGTAACTATAATTGTTATTTAGATATGCATAATTTAATAGCCTATTTAAATATTCCACTATTATAAAGATAATAGCCCCCAAATGCCCTGGTATGGCCGAGAGTGGGATGGGTTCGCCCTCCCTCTCGAAATGCTCTCACACGGCTACGCGTATACAGCCTCTGCCAGGGAAGTCCTACTCACTGCCTACTCGTGGCGGGGATGTTGTTTACGAAAATGAGGGCACGAAAAGCGAATGTCCGGCGATTTAACCGGATCCCAAACCAATGGTGCACATGGGCTCCAGTATCCCGCGGGAACAAATGGTGTATGAACCAGTCGTTGGTCACCGGCTACCATGGGACTGCATCTCCTCACGATGTTCCACTGCCTTGTAGATCAGACCTTTAGGTCAAATGCTCGGGGTGTGGCCCCCTAAGAAAATCACCTGCTTCGATCTGGGCACCTGGGCAATGTCACAGCCCACTCACACACAAATATGGTGTGGCGCATATATATTTGGTGCCCTCTTGTAACAATATTTATGTGTTGAAATAAATAAATAAAAAATAATAAAGATATTAAGCTTTTCTCTTTAAGTGAACTACTATTACTATTTCAGTAGAGTCGATTGAAATCGTTTGTCTTTGAGAAACGTAGTTATATCTTAAACAATTATTGCATAATTCACAATATATTAAAATTAATATTCATTTCCACTTTTAGTCATGATCTATCTCTTCTTAAAACATTTGAATCAACATTAAGAGATGAGAAGAATTGGACAGCTGTTTTTTCTAAGTTCTTCAAAGCCATAGTCTTCAATGGAATTAAATCTGTGAATTTCCTCTCTTTTCCAATGAATGTGTTATACGTGAGTTGGGCAGTGAGAGTAAAACACCTTCTAGTTTCGATAATGTAATAAGAAGACGAAGATTATCAGAACTATGTTTAGTGACTTGATCTAACTAATTATATATTGTAAACATCCTTTCATATTAAAATTACATTGCTAGAATAATTGAAGGCTTTAAGTTCAGCCTTAATAAATGGGTTTCAAACTAAACTAATTAGATGTTTAGTACTTTTATCAGTATCTAGCAACGTAAATTCACGGAAATACTATTATTAGTATGGACATCATTGAATTTGGATGTCATGGATTCGAACCCCAGTAGGGTCATAGATGATCACTACCGAGGAGTCCAATACAAAGTATAAACAGTCGTCCAGTGATTTCTGGTCTTCAATGGTCCTTTTTTTTCAATTAATATCAGCCTGTGATGTAAACTATAAAAGTATTATTGTTTTTAAGGGGTTTTCTGTACTCATGTATTCTTTTCAAAAGATTTCACTTTTAACTTTGTAACAAGCAATCTAAATCATTGTATGTTCAAAATGTCAATCTTTAATAAGTATAACGTCAAAGTCTCAAAGTCTTGATACTGAAAATTCAATCCTGTTGTACTATTACGGCTGTTATATTATAACAAAAAGTATTGTAGACAATTATGTTACTGTATCATGGTTACAATTATTATTATAATACCATTTTTTTTAAAAGTATCTGATTCATTCTGTTCTAACAAAAAAACTAATCAGCCTAATAATTGTAACTTCAAGTCAACACATTCTTTATTGTACATTGAATCAAAAGGTTACTACTGACCCTGTTAGAATTCACTAGAAGTGAGCATTTAAACTTTATGAGATTGATTTTATAGCCTACTTCCAAACGCCTGCAAGTTAATTCACCTTGAACCTCGAACAGATAAAATAATGATTCAATAATCAACTAGTAATAATAATTAATAGTTGAATTTATGAGTCAGTTTAAGCTGGACCACCATGGAAAACCTGGAATCACTGGACGGTCGTTTCGTCTTATTGTGGGACTCCTCAGCAGTGCGCATTCACGATCTCGTCTCACGAGATTCCAACCTAGGACATATCAGGACATATAGGCCGCCGACCAACATTCTCAAACCCACTCTGTCCTGGGCCTTCTTTCCTAATCCCATCCAATTCTTGTTCATTTTTCTCATGTCTATCTCCATTTCCCGGCGTCATGTATTCTTTGGTCTTACTCTCCTCCTCCAACTTTGGCCTTGAGGATTCCATATGAGGGCTTGCCTTGTGACGCAGTTGGGTGCTTTCCTCAATGTGTGTCCTATCCAGTCCCAGCGCTTCTTCCTGATTTCTTCCTCCGCTGGGATCTGGTTTGTTTTCTCTCACAGTAGGTTGTTGGTAATGGTGTCCGGTCAATGGATCCGAAGTATTTTGTGTAGACAACTGTTAATAAACACTTGTATCTTCTGGATGCTGGATTTCGTAGGCCTCCAGGTTTCCGCCCCATACAGTAGAACTGTCTTGATATTTGTATTGAAAATCTTGACCTTGGTGTTGATTGACAGTTGCTTTGAGTTCCAGATGTTCTTCAGTTGTAAATATTCTGCTCTTGCTTTACCGATCCGCGCTTTCACATCTGCATCAGATCCACCATGTTCATTAATGATGCTGCCCAAATACGTAAACGTTTTTACATCCTGAATAACCGTTATAACAAGTATTTACTTATTGTCCAAATATCTGTATGATAGGACTTGTTTAAACTCGTTTAAACGTCAATTAAAGTTTAGAATGTAATAAACTGTAAATAACTTTACTGATGTTTGGCTCATAGAGGTTTCATTCTTTTTTCTTTCTTCTAGATTCATCTTTTACTAAAAGATCATCATGTACTTCATTCAATGATGATAGGATACCTATCAATTACATTGAACTTAACATCTTACAACCTTATCTCAATACCACTATTTGATAACATTGATAAAATTTAGAAAATTAAATTACATTATTGAAAATGTTACCATGAGTACCATTTGTACTTTTATGTATGTTAACTTTTAAGAAATTCAAATGACCACTTACCAACAATATGTAACCAGCCGACATCTGACCATTTTCGAAGTGTATTTCTAACTTTCTATAATGATCATTATGATATAATTTGAAGAATAAGCATAATGGTATTAGGTTATGAAATATATATGACTAGATATATAACTCTGTTTATAAGCAAACAGCATAATAATAATAATAATAATAATTCATCATATTTGATGTTACTTATAGCTTTCTACTTATTAAAGTTAAAATGTGACCGGGTAGAAAGAGATGATAGACATACACCATATGTGTCATACATATAATTAACTTAATTCATTCTGTTCAAGACTATTCAATTACATATTTTTATTATTATACTATTAGTTATTGATATCTGCTTCGTACAATTGTAAAACTATTTATGGTTTAAATGATTTGGTTGTAAAGTAAGATATAACAATGACATTAGTATAATATAGTTAAACAGAATGTTAGTCAGTCAGCTACAAACGTAGGACCAGGCACATATATGCATCGGTCCAAGTTGCCATAACTCATTAACACAACAAGATGGACACTGGATTCATATGTGTACTTAATTCAGAGGCAATAATATATAAAAGAAAGATTGCAATAAGGATATAGTACAGGAAGAAAGAATTAGTTCGTAGAAAGAAAGAAAGATAGGAAGCGATTTTAATCTCTTAGTTTAAGGGAAGACAAAGAGTGTATACACCGACGCCATTATGATCGATTTTGAGCCATGTCACCCAGAGTCTCCAACCATTGGTTACGATAGTCACACGGACTCCAACCAAGTAGTTTGCATCTACCAACATGGCTCAGACTAGAAGTGAGTGAGTTCAAGCACTGATGCCACATTTTTGTTTGTCCGCACCTAACTTTCTTCCAACCATCTCCAACAACGGTTAGCATTGCATGTCGTGGTAATCGGTGTTCAGGCATACGTGACACGTGACCCTACCATCTCAGTCGATGAAGATTCACAACCTCATCAACTGATTTACCATCATTCCCTAATACCCTGCATCTAACCTCACTGTTACTTACCCGGTGATCCTAGCATACGCCAGCAATATTTCTAAGGCATATGTGGTTAAATACTAGTAGCTTACGAGTGTCTTCTACTCTCAATGGTCATGTTTTGCTGCCGTAAATTAAAACAAAACGGACTGCCGCGCAGTACACTCGTCCTTTTATTGATAGACGGATATCTCGCCTTCGCCATAGGTGACGTAAGTTGGCAAAAGCCAAACGATCTTTTCAAATCCGTGCTGAGAAATAGAATGTCGGTGAATAATTTATGGTTTGCATGACTAAATATCAAGTTAATGTCAATCAAATGATCATGAGCCAATTAACAGTATAATCAACGAGCAGTCTATACTAATGTCAATCATGTGCTCATAGCTGACTAACTTTCTAAAAAATTCCTAATGTTCTTGTGAAAAATAATAACTAGAGGAGTCCAACTATTATAAACGTTATACAGTTATCATAAATGGCAATCGATGGTGTTTGTGCATTTTTCTCGTATTCGCTAAAGTTGGAAACTTGATGTCCATAAATGATACGTTTGTCACAAAACACGAATGTCCTAAGTTCAATTATTGCTGGGGCACGTATTGGGACTCCTGATGTAAACCATCCTAAGACAAAATAACTGTCTAGTGCTCTCTGATTTCCAACAGTTGTTTAGCCCGATTAAGTTCATGATAGAAACTACAAGATATATTATCCGGTAAATAATATGTAATTCCAAGATCTCAACTATTTAAGATAGCTAAGTAGTGTCTTGAAGCCTCTAGGTTATCCAAATATATGTGTAATCGAGCTTAAGCGAGTACGTGACTTGTTGACCTACTCAAAGCCAATCCTCATATATCTCTGTCTAAGTTATTTGTAGATCTGTTATATACATATAAGTACTTTGATCTAAATTTTGCTAATACGATTTCTTATGTTACCATTATATTCCCTCATTTTGGTCTGCTTCAATTGGTCAATAATTAGGAGTGCTTACGGTAACTGAAATGGGCTCCAAATCACAACATAAACAGGCAATAATTAACATTATATTCACATTATTTAAACTGTTGTATACGAGTAACTTGCATAATATTCAGCTATTTGATCTAATGTGCTTTTCGAAATAGATTCTTTAGACAAATCACCATAAATTGAATCAGTTTCTAATTTTAACTGATCTGATGAAAATGTTCTAGGAATAGTGGCATTGGAAATTGGAAATAATCCGGTCATTGTAGCTAAAATATGTAATTCACCATGACCTCGACCATCTTGATTATTCAGTGTGAAACATGTTGTCCAGTCAAGGACAATTTTCGAAAAATCTAAATAAAATCTGAATTCACATTAATAAAAAGTGGGATGACATTAGTTGAAGAAAAATAAAATGTTCGACGTAGTTAAATAGATAAACTCGATTAATTTAAAGTACGAAATGAAGAGGATAACGCGATGGCGTTTGAAGCGAAGGGTACTGGGTTCGAGTCTCAGAGTAAACATCAACAAGTCCGAGATGCAGGTACATCCACCTGACGAGTCCACTGCTAGCCACCATCCATGGAGATCTAGCTAAAATTGATTCATGATTTCAACTACTGAAATCAATATAATATCCACAAAACCCCTTCTGATACAAATTTGTTTAATTGAAAATAATCTTTCATCATGAATTGACATGAGCTGTTCTTAATCTTTTAACGGATCTCTAGTGATGAAAAGTACCTTCATAATTAGATTTCAGTTCAACAAACATTATGTGTCCCAGTGGTGGATTTATAAAGCTTTTCTCTAGCTTCCATGATTGATCCTCGTAATCGTCCTAACTACCATATCAGATCACTTGAACAGATTGTTAGTCTTACTGTGCATATCTTATATAGTGACTGGGTTTTTTGACAAAAAGCTGATGCTGTTTATGATGTCTAGTGTAATATTTCATTTCGCAACAGTGAATCACTTATTTCAGAAAATATAACAGTAATACAAATCATTTGTGTGATCCACGATCGTCATCATCTGAGCATCATACTGAACTATAAAAGTTTTCTAATGTATATGAATATTGATAGATGTAGCCACACTAAACATTGTATGTATTTATCTAATTAAGCAAGGCAAATAACTTCAGTCAAAGCTTTTTAGTATAACTTACCGACCGAGCAGATTGGTATTTTGATGTGAGTCATCAAATACTTCACACTGAAGTACTGTTCTCATTCCAGGACGAACACGAAATTCAAATCGTTCATTCCATAATGGATTTTTTGTATGCATTACAACCTTGCCGGTATAAATAAGACGCATGCAAAGTATACAACTGATACAGATATACAATTCGGTAGATTTTTGTGTTAAAAAGTTAGAGTCCATTAAAAAAATGCAACAGTTCAAGTATTATGGACACATTGTGAATTTTGGTTACATCGACTGGTGGTCATTCTACAACTTTATCAGTAGAATTTGATTAGCATTAAGATCTGGTTAATACGAAATTAATTACTACTAGTATGTGATCAATGGGTGCAAATATATCATATATATTGGAGGTCATTAATGATCCTAACAAGTGATTGATCACATTTCTGAACGTAACATTCATTGATATGGATTCAAATCCAACACCATTTAAAATATCAGAAACATCAGGTTTATCGGTAGTAACAACAATAAATCACAAGTCCATAATATGTCCTTAAACCAGCAAACACTTAAAAAAACAAAAAAATGACTAATGCAATAAAACAGTTAAAGAAATATTCTGAAGAGTGCTGGTGGGCGGCCTTTGCTCCTTCACGAGGGGTAACAGCCGTAATGAAGTAAGTAAGTGGATCACTTAATAACGTGATGTTGTTTGAAGCAAGTGGTACTGGGTTCGAGGCCCGGGGTAAACATCAACAAGTCCGAGATGCAGGTACATCCAGTTGACAAGTCCCAAATAGGATGAAGCGTGCATCCTGGATTCTACTGCTAGCCACTATCCATCTTTGCTTGAAATTATGTATCTTTGCTCAAAATAGCTCATGTTACTGTTTTTCACCACATTTAAAATGGTATTACACAAACAACAACATTTCTCCCCTAAAACTAATAGTTTATCTAAAATGAAACACTAAAATTCCCCAAAATTATATATATATATGACTATTCTTCCGGAAGTGAAGTGAAGACATCAAAACTCAACAGCCTTTTTGTCATACTTTGAAGAACTGTTCTCAGTTATAGTATATTTGTATTTTATTTTCCGTTGTAATGCATTTTAATGATTTATTGCCTTACAAATTACAGTGATGTTTTCTTTAAATACGGAAAAATATCAATTTATCTCAACAGTTGAGATCATGAGTCAAATGAAGCTAGACTACCATGGAAAGCCTGGAAGCACTGGATGGCCGTTTCGTTCTATCGTGGGACTCTGTGGATGAACACTGCTGAGGAGTCCCACAAGAGGACGAAGTGGTCGTCCAGTGCTTCCAGGTTTTCCATAGTAGTCTAGTTTCAATTGATTGATGAGCTGAACTAATGACGTTACTGTAATATCCACAAAAACCCCTTCCGATATCAATTTATCTGTTACGTAATAAAACATATGATAAAAACTACTTTCCTTTATATTACTAAGACAAGATATATCGATACAGTCCAACATATTGTTTCGAGAAATGATTCGGTTAAATGTTATATTTTATTGATGATAATCAGTTCTAAGAATATTTAAATCGCTAATGTGTGATTTATTCAACCTACTTTACTTTGATGTGTTTTGGTTCCAACAGTTAAAAACACTGTTGGACAAGGTAAATTGTTTTTTTCTTCATCCAAACCATTTAGTGTATGATCTGAATGGCTTCTTGTTGATCGACCACGTGGTGCTTTACAACTATCGGCCTCACTGACAGCAACAACATTCTTTAGTTTAGTTCGAACTTTTAAATTTTTTGCACCGACCAACGTAACTATTAAACGGGATTGTTGAAACAAACTCTCCATTTGTATTTCATTATTCAATGTATATAGTTTATCAATACTTTCATTCGTATCACCTTGACATTTGCTAGTGTACAACTCTAGGCTAGTACCTTCATAAAAATTATACGGCCATTTAGGTTGAGGTAGTAGAGATTGATTTCGTTCCGTCCAGTTGTCTTCAACACGATTTTGTAAAGATTTGTCTCCTTGTTTTGATAAATTTGGTTGCCCATCATCATTTTGTAAGTCTTCTATGAAATCCACGATTTCTGTTGAATCATGGTTTGATTGATTAGATTGTGGATTATATTGCTGAGAACGTGTCTGTAAGTGTAAATCGGAACCAAATATATGTACAAAGCTCTTTGGAAATGGTAATAAAAATCATGAAACTAACCATAAGAAATCAGAATAGCAGTATCGGTTTTTTTTTGGCATACTTTGTAGTTGACAACCTTTAATTAGTTGAAAGATGAAATGAGTACTAATCATGATCAATTCTCTACAAAACTTGTCATCATAATTTTATTTTGTTTGAACTACTTACTAGTAACCAAGTGGTTTGAAGCCGATTGACAAAACACTGAGATATATGATTAACTGAAATTTATAATTATTGATTATTTTGTTGTTTAGTGATTAGAGGAGATCTATTAACAGTCTACATTTATCTAGGTTTCACTTATGTGTGTTTACTTTGTTGAACACTATGGATAAACATGGTCTACATATAGGCAAAAATACAATCAATATGAGAGTAAGAAGTATGACCAATAGTCTAAATAAGTAAAATCTGATCTAATCCAGTGTAACATAAATACAGTAACAACATTATAGAAAAACAAACAACTCAAAATACCAACTAGTACATTGTATATTCAAAATATGGGTAAATACTGAATATGAATACTAGAGATCATAGAATTGTAGTAAAACTTAAATATAGTCGCGTATAGTTTGATTACTATTAAGTTTAATTTTTTTTCTCGAGGGTTAATGGAAATGAATGAACTATTTTTTGAATCGAAAAAAAAGGATAATATCATGGATGCGCACTGCTGAAGAGTCCCACAATAGGACGAAACGGCCGTTCAGTGCTTCCAGGTTTTCAATGATGGTCCAACATCAATCAGTTCATGATGTCAATCAAAAAAGATAATAATTTATAAAAGTATTATCACTTACGGAAAGCACTTGACGTAATTGTTCTTCTATTTTCCAACCCCATTGGTTTATCTTATACTGTAAATTGATATTTTTGTTTTTAAAATTAATTTTTCTATTTTGTGTAAAAAGTACTTGAAGAGTCAATAATTTTGAAATCTCCCTATTCTTTTTATAATTTCTATTCGATAATTTTTGTATATCTTAAAGTAAAGATAAATTTCAGAAGGGGTTTTATGGATATTATAGTAACTTTTAGTAGTTAAGATTATGAGTTCATTGAAGCTAGGTCACTATGGAAAATCCAGGAGCACTGACGGCTGTTCCGTCCTATTGTGGGACTCTTCAGCAGTACTCATTCACGATCCCGCCTAGCGAGACTCGAACCCAGAACCTGTTGGTCTTGCATGAGCGCCTAACCTCTAGACCAGTAAGCTGGCCGGCATCCAACGGTGTTAATATACTTAACTTTTCCACATCTTTTTAATTTGAAATGTGACGTGTGGGCGAGAATGATAAGGATCAGTTTAGGAGTTGTGCAGATTGTTAAGTTTTTGGTTAAGATCATGAACCGATTGGTGTTAGACCACTGCTGAGGAGTCCCACAATAAGACAAAACGGCCGTCCAGTACTTCCAGGTTTCCAATGGTGGTCTAACATCAATCGGTTCATGATCTCAATAGAGAATGATAATGATTGGTTGGTTTGTTTAGTCAGACTTGTAGATAATCTGACAGACGTTAGAGGAGTTATATATAGTCCTGTCCTTATTATTATTGACTGATTATCGATTGCTGTTGGATTGTGTCGGATTGTTGTCAGCTTTTCGATGTGGAAATATATTTACGTTGTGGTCATGCTAATCATGTGTTCTCGGTCTCAGTTGTGTTGACGTCCTGTAGAATAGACAGTGGGAGGGAATCTAGTGTAAATATTCGTCTAAGGTAAATTAACCATTAGTGTTTTCAATATTTTGTTGATATTAAGATAAAAAAGTGTGTTAATGTTGAATCCGTTTCAAGAGGTGGTAACAAATGCTGTTATTACAAATAATTTAATTGACAAAAACGGGTACAGTTTAAATCAACCTTTTAGGTCAATTGTTCAATTAAGTAGGAAAATTTTTTTCACTGTAGATATTGATTCATTCAGATACAAGTGTTTATTAACAGTTGTCTACGCAAAATACTTCACATCTGTTAGCCAGACACTATCAACAACAACCTACTGTGGGAGAGAACAAACCAGATTCCAGCAGAGGAAGAAATCAAGAAGAAGCAATGGATGTGGATCGGACACAAATTAAGGAAAGCACCAAACTGAGTCACAACGCAACCCCTCACTTGGAATACTCAAGGTCAAATGGAAAGAGTAAGACCAAATAACACATTACTCCGAGAAATGAAGACAGACATGAGAAAAATGATCAATAATTGTATAGAACTAGAAATGAAGGGCTAGGACAGAGTGTGCTGGAGAATGCTGGTCGTCGACCTATGCTCCATTGGGAGTAACAGGCGTAAGTAAGTAATTAAGATACTGATTCATACTAGTTTGTGATAAAAATAACAAGCTTTTTCCTATGTGTTTATCGAAATAATAGATTGGACTTTATATTCTAATATTCTTTGGTTCAGTGAAATATTGTACCCAGGAGAGGGTAACAGTCATTATTTGTCATCATTTCATTATAAAATCGTATTAGTGATAAAATTCAAAACTTTCTCGAAAAACAAAAACAACGACACCAACCCCAATATCCTGATCATTAGTAATACATTTTAGATTTATCTAAAATATTCGTAACTCCACCTGCAGTCCCTCCGGGGGATACTGCCGGTCCCAACCCCTCATAAAGGAGGAGGGTTAGGCATGGGGTTGGGGACCTCACCCCGTAGAAAACTAACTCGCTAAAATAACGCTAAACAGAAAAACTATTCGAAAATATTCGTAATGATATTAAACTTACAACTGAATTATTAATAATTCCTGAACGTAAAGTTGGTACATCGATATTTTCTGCTACAGAATAATTATCAGATTGAGTGAGCTATAAGAATCAAACAAACAGATATTCCATAATAAAACAATTCAGATATTGGAATCTAATAAAATATGGATGAATTCATATATAATATTGATTTGTTTAGCCGATTGAACGCTACTTGTTATGTTTGGTTGTCGCTGATTGTTATTGTCGGTAACTCCTAGGCAGTGCGCATCCACGACCTCGCCTCCTGCGTGATTCGAATCCAGGACCTACTGGTTTCGCGCGCGAGCACTTAACCACTAGACCACTCAGCCGGTCGGGATCCAACAATGTTAATCTCTAACTTCAACTAATCCACGAAATCGAGTGACACATCCACCATTGTCTTCAGTCAGTTACTATCTCACAACAGACCTGGTTGAACCCACTGGTCACTACTTCTCACTAGAACTCCAGGATATACCTCTTGAAGCCACTATCTTGTGAGCATATCAGATGGGTTTTGTGGATATTATATCATTTGTAAGTGAAACAAAGGACCTCGACAATTCCCACAACCCAAAATTATGAACATAAAGACTTGTATGGTGGTGATGGTTTTTTAACCCTAAAAACACGATGACTCTAGTCGAGAATACAATCATTTATATATTGATATATCCACCCATATTTGATTAATAATTAGGATATGACAGATATAACAAATCCTATGCTGAGTATAGTTTATGTTAACTTAATACAAGAATATCGTATGTTATACACAATATGCAGAATACCATAAAGGAAAACAAAACCGAATCCTACATCACATTGAATTAAAACGGAATTAATGTTGTACAAAAATCTTCCCATCATATCAACTATACTTTTGAAGAGATTATTACGAGTTCAGAGTTTAGATCGTTTTCTTTTAATTATGATCAGTATTCTTCAAGAAAGGAGTATTTTTTTTAATCTTGAAAGAATTGTTTTATCAAATATTCAAAGTCATATCATCTATTGAGTTGGTTATAGACGTTATAATTAAGCCTAATGACTTGTAATAGTTTCATTGTCATATTACAACATAATCGATTTATTTAGATAAACACCAGTAAGATATATATGGCATAACATTTATTACTATCCAGTAACCAAAGGATTGGTACGAATATATCATAGCTGATGCAACATTATGTATAATATAATCGAAGAGATTCATACTGATAACAAAACTAAGTGTTTGGAATGGATGAGTCCGAGGAAAGTAGACAGTGACGGGTCAACGACGGAACATAAACTCATTCGAATACAACAAACACAAAATAGACTATTTATCATGTATAAATTCATTCCACTTTGATTTCGATTATTCCATTGCTTTGTATTTGTGTCGTAATTAATTCTCATTCTGTTCTAACGTAGTGTTTGAACGTTGATCGAATTACCGAGTCGATTATGTCACATGATCAATGGTTGTGATGTTTAGATATAGCGATCAGTATAGAATCGTGAATAATTAAATCTATTTCCCGTTATATAACACATGTGTATTTTCCCTAAGTAAACCATTAACATCTATGCGATAAAAACAATAGAACAGAAGAACAGGGAATACAATTCATTCATTTCATTTGATAGGTGAGTGTTGTTTTCCCTGCTGTTTTCAATATCAATATCTACGTGTTAGTAACGATATAAACTAATTTTTTACGCTTTCAAAGTAATCAATCAGAAGATTTTAGACTTTCACAGAGGTTTGCAGTTCCTTCTTGATGATAGAAACATCTATATGTAATTAGTGTTTATTGAATAACTGTTACTGTCTTACAAAACTAAAGGTATATATTCAACTAATTAAAACAAAACCCAATGTGTCATCAAATAAAAATAATTAGAATTCACTGAAGAAATTTTCCTTTACAATGAAATCATTTACTTAAGCTATACACTTGTATTTGTAGTTGTTTGGTAAATATATGCTCATAGAAAGGTAGAGAAGATCGCATGACAAAGGGATTCGAGATTCGAAATATCAAAGGATGTTGAGTTATAATCAGAACGTGAGAGTAGTGTAGGACGATGAAAATAATTTACGGTTGAGAATTATAAAAGATAATTGTCCACTGAACAGATATGAAGAAAACTGAGTAGAATTAAGGTCATAATGATAAGTGAATAATAACCATGAAGGACTTTTGAAGGATAGTAATAACTGATTATGGTTTAGAATTACAGAACAGTAAGCTAGAAAGGAAAACAAGAGCAAAACATAGTGGAGAAGGGAGTGAGGGCTAAGGAACAATGACAGGTTGGATGTGTCGTTTGTGCACAGTGAGTTTGTGATTGAATTGGTGAGTCGCCAATGCCTCAACAGTGCGTAAGTTTTTGATTCGGTCACCCTTCGATGTAGTTTCTTTAATTGTGTAGATTATTTTGAAGGAAGATTCATTTGGAGCGACGTGTTCAGAGATTATTAGATGTATCTGTATTGAACTGGTGACTGTTTTTCATTCTTCTTTCAAAATGAACGTCGACTTGCATATTTGTATACGAAAACATTTGTCAAAAGGAGCTACTTTTACGACGTACTCAATGTACAGTTCAAATTGAATAATGATTCCTACAGACAAACTGACAAAAATGCATTGGGTTCACCACCATGCTCCCTCTTGAGTAATTGCTTCATTACCAACCTGGAAAATGCGGCCAATAATCGAGAGCTCATTTATATATGAGAGTTATGTAGATGGCATTTTTCGTTATGTGGCAATGAAGTTAAAATATGATTGGTCACTGAACGTGAACGAACAGCAATAAGGTGAATTATCAAGTGATGAGTGATTTAAAACACGAGTCAAGTAATAAGCAAGAGTGTACCATTTGAATGATCCAGAATACACTTGATTCAATGACCGGCTGGCAAAGAAGGTAAAAGATCGAAGTACAATACTATAAACGTGTTCCGGTCGACTGATAGATTAGATGACAATGGGTCGACAATAAAACCTAACTTCTCGCCAGCCAATCACCATTTAGTTGGTATGGATATATCACAGAGGTGGTAACTGAAAATTTAAAAAGGTAATGTAAACTATATTAGGTAGAACAATGTGATTTTGTATCCATTTGAGTTTGTTTCTGATATGATGGAAAGAATAGTCAATTTTCGATTGATTTACTCATTATGAGTTTTGCTCAAAATTACTTCCGTTTTGATTCAATGTAATGATTACTCAATGTAGTATTTGTTTTCTTTTCTCGTATGATATTTTATTCTGTATAATATGCGATATTCTTGTATCCGATTGACATGAACTATGCTCAGTCTGTGAATTATTATAACTCTGAGTATGTTTCATATATGTGATTTCATCCTAATTATTAATCAAAACGGGTGTACAATCAATTTATAAATGAGTGTATTTTCTACTAGGGTTGTTGTCGTCGTCATAGTGTTTTGGGGGTTAATAAATCATCACTTATACCAGTCTTTGTGTTCTTACTTTCGCATCGTGTGAATTGCAGAGGTCTCTCGTTCCGAGTATAAGTGATAAGCGTTTCCGACATAACATTCAGCGACGACCAGATACAAATGTAGCATTAAAAGAGCCAAGACAACAAGCATTCGATTGATCACTGGGTGGCGATCAATGTTATGCGTGTCTAGTCCTTATTAGTACAGATCAAATGCTGTCGATCATGTTGCAATGTGGCCACTAGTCTAGGTGACTCGACACTGCGGGCATTATATATTGAGATTAGATGGTGGTTGGATGCATTCTACAGGAAACCCTGGACACGGGTTTCATGCTACTTGACAGTCGTCAGCAATGTGCACCTGTAATTTTGAGGGAACTGGTGATCCCTGGCGGATTCGATCTCGTGTCACTCAGCTTCACAGCCAGAGACGTTAACACTGAGCTATCCGAGCGGCGACCGACATCTTGTAGGACTGAGATGTAATCACAATTGGTTGATCGAATCCACTAGGGAGCACCAGTTCCCTCAAGATTACAGATACACCATGCTGACGAGTACCAGGGAAGTCCTACTCATTGCCTTCTCGTGGCGGGGGTGTTGTTTACGAAAATGAGAGGACGAAAAGCGAATGTCCGGCGCTTTAACCGGATTCCAAATCAATGGTGCACATGGGCTCCAGTATCCTGCGGGAACGAATGGCGTATGAACCAATCGTTGGTCACCGGCTACCATGGGACTGCATCTCCTTACGATGCTCCACTGCCTTGTGGGTTAGACCTTTAGGTCAAAGGCTCGGGGAGTGACCCCCTAAGATAACCACCTGCTTCGGTTTGGGCACCCGGGCAGTATCACAGCCCACACACAAATTGATGAACTCTTTATGCCTATGGAAATTACCTTTCTCGCTTTGAAAAACAAACAATTGATTCAGATTATTATCATTACAATTATTGTCATTATTAATACTAATATTATTATTACTACTATTATTGTCATTACTGTTATTATTATCATTATTATTATTACTATTATTATTTTCCACATTATTCACCCTCTTTTATACTTGTACAGCGGCTCGTCTTTGGTGGAAATCCGACTGTATCTAAACGTTCTCGTGTCACTGTCCGGTTGAAAATTGTATGTTACCACCGAATACGAGGACTGAAGCAGATTTTCTGAAACCACGTGCACCATTCAAACTGGCTGCCTTCAACGTTCGCACATTTATGCAGGTCGGACAACAGATAGGGCTGGCTATGTCTTTGGAAAGTCTTAATATCGACGTGTGTTGTCTATCCGAGACCCGTACTCAAGACCCTGGCAAAGTACTACAAATTCGATCTCCATCTGTCGCTTCGAAAAGCTTGTTTTACGTGCGCTTATCCGGGGACCCTGTGGCATCTTCGTCTGGTCTTGCTGGCGTTGGTGTCGCACTAAGCGCTAGAGCTGAGGCAGCACTAGTCGATTGGATCCCCATTAACAGTCGGTTATGTGCTGTTAGATTAGAAAGTTCCATCAAAGTGAGAAGAAATCGGCGTGAGAAACGATGTCTCTTCGTCATCTCCGCCTATGCCTCGACAGATTGCAGCCCGGATGCAATCAAGGATGAGTTTTACCACCAGTTATCTGTTCTTCTCCAGAAAGTGCGTTCGACAGATATTGTAGTACTAGCTGGAGACTTGAATGCTCAGGTCGGGCGTCTAGGCACAGAAGAGAGTCGTTTAGGTGGCCGATGGGGACTCGTTGGTCGCAGGTCAGATAACGGGGACCGTCTACTGCAACTAAGCACAGACCACAACCTGTTTCTGGCTAGCACTAACTTTCGGCACAGTCATCGCCGATGTGCCACCTGGTGTCCTCCCTCTGCATCTCAAGCCTGGACTCAGATTGATCACATCGCGATCAGCTACCGCTGGCGTGGTTGTGTACAAGACTGCCGCTCCTTTTGGAGTACCTATCTGGACTCTGACCATGCCTTGGTCTGCGCCAATCTTGCCTTACTTTTCAGTGGACAACGAAGTGACCACCACCAAAAGATTGATGTTAGCAAGCTGGTTGCAACTTCTGTTGCAAGTAAGTATCGAACCGAGCTAGCCTCTAGGCTAGCTACCACTCCACCGAAAAGTATAGATGAGCATTGGTTGCAATTGCATGACGCCATGAAAATGGCGGGAACAGTCAGTTGTGGGTTTGCGAAACGTCCCGCTTTTAAGCACTGGGTTTCTTCTGGTTCCTTACAACTCATTGAAGCCCGTCGGTCTACTCCGGGTGACCGTGAGTTTGACCATAAACGAAGGATGTTACGTGGGGAAATTGGGCAAAGCTTGCGTAAGGACCGAGAAGCCTGGTGGTCGATGCGTGCTAATGAGCTGGAAGCAGCAGCTGCATCTGGTAACTGCCGGAAGCTCTTCCAGCTCATCCGAGCCACTGGCAGCAAGAAGTCTGGTGTGAGTGAAACAATCTGCGAGGATGATGGGATGCCAATCACTAACATCCATCGACGTCTTGGACGATGGGCAGAATTTTTCGAAGGGCAGTTCAACTGGCCTGCTGCTCCGGCAACATCGGTCAGACTGTCCTGCCCTCAATGGCCGGTGACGACTGATCCACCAAATGAGGAGGAAGTCCGCAAGGAACTCCAACTCTTGAAGCGTTACAAATCACCTGGCCCAGATGACTTACCTCCGGCTCTTTTTAAAGATGGTGGTGACTTTTTGACTAAGGAATTGACGACGTTGTGTACAAAGGTTTGGGAACTAGAGAGTGTACCAACGTCATGGAATGAGTCGATAGTTGTCCCTATCTTTAAAAAGGGTTCACGTCGTTCTTGTAACAACTATCGGGGGATAAGTTTACTTCCGATTGCGTCCAAGCTATTGGCTTCCGTCATACTTCGTAGGTTGTTCAAAACCCGAGAAAGATTGGTTCGCAAGGAGCAAGCTGGTTTTCGTTCTGGCCGAGGATGTATTGGTCATATGTTCACCCTCCGCCAAATGTTAGAACACCGCCATACTTTTCAAAGGCCAACAATCGTAGTGTTTCTTGACATCAGGGCTGCCTTCGATTCGTTGGATAGGACTGTTCTCTGGGATTGTCTATTGAAGAAGGGTGTGCCTGAGAAGTTTATTAACATCCTAAAAGCCCTGTATAAAAACACCTCAGGCAGAGTGAGGGCATACAACCACATTTCTCCATTGTTCCATTCGAGCAGTGGGGTTAGGCAGGGTTGCCCAATCTCACCATTCCTCTTCAACTTTGCCATCGATGACATTCTGGAAACAGCTCTGATGAATGTAAGTAATGGTGGTGTGGATCTGTTGCCTGGAGAAAGACTTCTCGACCTTGAGTATGCGGATGATATTGTCTTACTGTGCGATAATGCCCAAGGCATGCAATCCGCACTTAATCAGTTGGCAATCAGTGTCCGTAGGTATGGTATGTGCTTTGCACCTTCGAAGTGCAAAGTACTTCTACAAGACTGGCAAGATTCTAATCCTGTACTCACCCTGGATGGTGAGCAGATAGAAGTAGTCGAGAAGTTCGTGTATCTGGGTAGCTGCATAAGTGCTGGTGGGGGGCGTGAGTGATGAGATCAATGCACGAATAGTGAAAGCCAGAGCGGCTTATGCCAATCTGGGCCACCTTTGGCGCCTTCGTGATGTTAGTCTGGCTGTAAAAGGCCGGATCTACAACGCGTCGGTGAGAGCAGTTTTGCTCTATGCTTGTGAAACCTGGCCTCTCCGAGTTGAGGACGTTAGACAACTCTCTGTGTTCGATCATCGCTGTCTCCGAAGGATTGCTGACATTCAGTGGCAACACCATGTCAGTAATGCAGAGGTTCGGCATCGTGTGTTCGGGCACAGAGATGATAATTCAGTTGGTGTCACCATCTTGAAACACCGACTTCGGTGGCTCGGACATGTTCTCCGAATGTCGTCCCAGAGAATTCCACGTCGTGCATTATTTGCCGACTCTGGAACTGGTTGGAAGAAGCGGAGAGGTGGTCAGTGCATGACATGGTGTCGTGGCATGAAAGAAAGCTGCAAAGGACTGGCTTGTGTTGGTCCTTCACGACTCCCTGGCTGGGGTCCGAGAGATGGTGCTACACAGTGTCTAGAGACGTTATCAGATATGGCTCAGAATAGAAGCCAGTGGCGATCGTGCTGTAACCTTCTTTTACTTTCTTCATAAAAAGTGGTTGTGTCTCCTTTACCTGAAAGATTTCTTCTGATTTTACCTTTTCGTTTCGTCGTTACTACCACACTACCTTACTCCAATCTCTTCGTCATTGTTCTCTTTTTCTTTTGCGTTCCTTAGTATTTTTTTTCTACTTCTCTTCGAATTTTCATTGTTTTGTGTGGCGCATATATATTGGCGCTCTATTGTACCAATATTTATGTGTTCAAATAAAAAAATAAATTCAAATAACAAATTATAACAATATGGAGTAACAATAATAGTAGTTTATTAAAACACAATGAGATATATATTAAAATACTTAAACAATATCTACCGTTGATGTGGTTGTACCAGGAATTTGTGATGAGAATTCCGTAGCAAATACACGAGATTTTTCTTCTTTCATTTTCTTTTTCAATTTTTTACACTCTGAATTATCAATGAAAGTTTCACTAATTTCACTTAATGTTACATAGAATTTAATTTCACCTGAATTCATACTTTTATTGAAATCATTTTCTAATTTTGATAAAAATTCATATTCTCTATTAAGAAAACATTAAAAAAACAAAACAATATAATTAGAGATTATTTCATAATGAAAAAAGTAATGGAAGCATTACAGATATTGAATTCATCATTCACTTAGGGGCGGCCAAACCAAAACGTGGCATCAGTGCTTGAACTCACTCACTTCTAGTCTGAGCCATGTTGGTAGATGCAGACTACTTGGTTGGAGTCCGCGTGACTATCGTAACCAATGGTTGGAGACTGGGTGACATGGCTCATAATCGATCATAATGGCGTCGGTGTATACACTCTTTGTCTTCCCTTAAACTAAGAGATTAAAATCGCTTCCTATCTTTCTTTCTTTCTACGAACTAATTCTTTCTTCCTGTACTATATCCTTATTGCAATCTTTCTTTTATATATTACCACCTCTGAATTAACTACTTTTATGAATCCGGTGTCCATCTTGTTGTGTTAATGAGGTATGACAACTTGGACCGATGCATATATGTGCCTAGTCCTACGTTGTAGGTGACTGACTGACTGTAATATACATTAAACATACTATTATTACCTGCTTCAGTTTGGGTACCGGAGCAGTATCCCAAGTAATCACACAAATCGAATGATTTATATGGTGTATATCTATTATTTAGTGCCTCCTTGTACCAATGTTTATGTGTTTGAATAAATAAATAGATAAGTTTTAACAGTTGAGAGCATGAGTCGGTTGAAGCTAGACCATCATGGAAAACCTGGAGGCACTAGACAGTGGCTTCCTCCTATTATGAGACTCCTCAGTATCCAACGATGTTAGTGTCTAACTTCAACTAATAAATAAATAAATAAATAATCAGAAAAGACTTATAAAATGACTCAGTAAGTTAGTTGCATTTGTTGATTACGTAATTTTTAGTGTATATCATATTCAAACATTAAGTTATTGATTAATTAATGTCTAGTGCCACTCAAATCAATTTATTTAAACCTAACCATTGATCAACATAAATGAAACGTAAAACATTAAGTGTTCAGGTATCTTTCAATGGTTCAGATCATGAGTCAGTTGAAGCTAGACCAACATGGAAAACC